CACCACCAATGACCTTTGCTGCTTATGAATATCCTGAAAGGTTTTTAACTCTCTCTCCAATAACGACTCTTAATTTTTTATGCTCATTAGGGTTCTCTACATCAGAAAATTCATGAGAGTTGAGAAGCTGCAAACAGTGTGATGCATCTTTAACATAAAAATAGCAAACAAACCTATAGAAAGCTGCATGAATATCAAAACAGTGGCTCTGAATCGTGGCCATCGATCGGCGATGCTTCCGGCGATACACGTGTCTGAACCGTTGATCGATGACCTCATCAGATCTACTATAAGAGAGGCAGATTATTTCTGACTCAAACCACAATGTTCATGTTTACATTCTTTTTGTTATTCCTAAGAAATATAGTTTTGCAATTTAATCCACAAACATCTTCTCATTTATCTACTTTTATTATTTATAAATAAAGTTTTTTTATATTTTTTTTCCTTATTCCTAAGAAATATACTTCTGCTATTTAATCCACAAACATCTTCTCATTTATTTACTTTCTTTATTTCTAAATAAAGTTTTTTTTATGCTTAACAACAAGCTTTAATTCCAGAGTTCACAAACCTACGCTCAAACACCCTCTAATAAATGATAACAATTGTTTATGATCTATATGAGCATATAGCAGCTTGCATTTTTATTATTTAAGAATGGCAAAGAGTTCTAATATTATGAAAATTAAGATTTCTTCATTGATATTGGTACATTTAAATTTTGGTATGAAGTGTTTTGCATTAGTTTGATCATATTGAATTTTTCCTATTGAAAATAAAATTTAAACAATCCAATCTATTTTTTTTTATTTTAAGATAAATTTTTTACTAATTACAATATACTTTTTAAACAATAAAAAGTTTGGTTGTAGTTAACAATGTTTAGGACTTTAATAGATTCTCACTTGAACAAAGCGATCATATTTCTTATGTTGTTTAGTATAAAACTTTGCCTTAGAACAACAATTAAAAAAAAGTATGTTGTTTTGTTCTTGATAAAGCAAAATTAATTTTGCAAATTCAAGTTAGGAAAAGGTCTTTCAAATCTGTTATTTTGAAAATATCTACAACCTATAGTAATTACTCAGTATATTTGAAAATGCTTTCACGTCATCTTGATTGTCTAATTATTTATTTCACATATTCATAGAAAATGTAACAAAATATGAAACAATTTTTTGAGAATTTGGGGAATGGTATGGCTCAATCATAAGATGTACAATTTATCATTATGCCCCAAATTTACACTTTTGATATCATTGTTTTAAACTTTTATTCAATGCTTTCATAAAATGTGATTTAGGCTGCTTGTTTTTTTCCTTTATGAGAGCCACTAACTCAATTGTCAGAAAGTAAAACCTCATTGGGAAGGGATGAATGGAAATATTCTCTCCGCTCTATATGCTGTTTTGTATATCATATTTGGAGAGAATGGAAACATAGCAATTATGTCCTCCCGTCTTTGTATTTCTTCCCTTTTAAAAATTATGCATTCATGTATGGCTGCATAAATCATAATTTCCAGATATCATTATTATCTTATTCCTCTTTTTTTTTGGTTAAAACCCACATAGGGGCCTACACGTTAATATCCAAAATTCGGTTACAAAGTTCTTAGAAGGATCCTCCAGCTCGCTAATGCTCAAAAGAGCTACAAGAAAATTAGAAAGAAAACCTAATAGCCAGTGGTTCCTTTACATAAGATTACAAGAAATACATAAATAAAAACTCGGGCTGTGAGTAGACAGCACCCAAAAAAGGAAGAGCAGATAAAACCCGTTCATCACTATCTTCCTGCAAAAATGTTGATGAAAATTGAAGAGCAAATATAAAAACCAAAATAAGAGTACCTTGCACTCATTGAAGCTCCAGAAATAAAAATATGAATTTTCCCTGCAAGGAACTCTCCAAAAAGATGTATTAGACAGATAGTATATAAAACAAAAAAAATAATCACTCTTATTATCTTATTCCTCTTATTTATTGCCAACAACACAACTTCTATTGGCTAATAGTTTTCATTACTGATTTCTATTGTGTGTCGATGGTTCCTCTGTTTTTTTTTTTCTTCTTTTGAATTTATGCGAAAAAAATTTGATATTTGTCAAGTTGATGCATTATATGGTAAATTAGTTCATAGATTTCTCGTTTCGAGTAGATGGTGCATTTGAGATGGCTTTCTCTAATTTTATATTAGATATTGCTGCACAACTTTTCTAAACTTATATTTTCCTGTAGTAAATTACTTATTTTTAGATTTTTTTAAGGCAATTTTCATAATCATATTTGCTTGCTAAAATGTGATGGTTGTTGATGAAACAAATTTGTGGTACTTATTATTTGCATTTTCTTTTCTGGCGATAGCTTCATATTTATTTAATAATCTATAGCTTAATAATACAAAAGAGGCTTACATTTTAATGTGATTGCGTGAGAAATTTTGCATTTAGATTGAAACCTAGGGACCACTTTGCTTGAGTGCTTTACATTTCTGGCATAGATATGGCTATGCTTTTGTTAACATCTTTGAAATTTTCTATTTCAACATTACCATGATTACTTTCTATCTGTGTATGTGTAGGGAGAGATAGAGAGATAGGACTGAAGTGATTAAATTTCGTGATTTTATTTAGTTGATTTTATTTTCATTATATTTTATGTACTATCATGGTTCCTGTTTTTAAAATATTTTATGTACTATCATGATTTCTATTTTTAATATATATATATATATATTTATATAATGTCAACATTTTGTTTCTTATTATTTATTTGTATTTGCATTTTTTCATGTATAGTTTTTTCTCGTAATAAAGAAATAAATCTTGGTAGATCGTCTTCTGTTACTTGATGTTATTGTGTGTGATAAATTAAGTTTGGAAAATGATTATCGATATCGATTGCCTTTGGGTCAAACAATCTTCATAGAAGATTCTATTTTTAAAATTGTATTAATGTGCACCATGTGCGCGTGCATTTAGTCAGTAGATCTTCAATTTTCTTTATGTTAAATTTAACAATTTACTTAGCTTCTTTCATGTGTTGGAAGTAAACTATACTATTCATTTTCCATAAGAATTACTCGTTGAGAAGGTAATAATTTTTCACCCCTTTCGCACGTTGCATCATGGATAGCATGGGATTCTCTTCTCATACAACCAATGTAGCGCAACCCATCAAATGTTTGTTTTTATGCATGATGCACCTTACAGTTATTAGACCACTTGCACACTGGAGTCTTTTAAGTACCATTTTGTAAGATTTTTCTAAAAGTAAATTATTGCTTAAATGTGTTGGAAGTAAACTATACTATTCATTTTCCATAAGAATTACTCGTTGAGAAGGTAATAATTTTTCACCCCTTTCGCATGTTGCATCATGGATAGCATGGGATTCTCTTCTCATACAACCAATGTAGCGCAACCCATCAAATGTTTGTTTTTATGCATGATGCACCTTACAGTTATTAGACCAATTGCACATTGGAGTCTTTTAAGTGCCATTTTGTAAGATTTTTCTAAAAGTAAATCATTGCTTAAATGTATCAAAGTAATATATGACCTACAAAATTAATCCTTATGTTACTTTATTTTAGTAATTGGATAAGTCTAAAGATCTTTCCGAAAGTGAGGTTTTATACCAATTGCTTATAAAAGCTGTTAATTTTTTCCCGTCACATTTGCATATTATTATCTTGTGCCGTAATTGACTAATCAACTTCGTTCTCATCTTTCCTGTTTATTTAGCTTTTGCTCATTGAAGTAGGTATAATAATGCTTGAATGTTCATCCTAAGTGCATTATATAATTTGGTATTAATGGCTAACTTCATATTATACGACACAATTTTTTATAGCGATTATAAGATTTAAAATGTGATGATTAAGTTTTTGTATATATTATAAGATGTGACAAACCCACTTGATGCTTTTAAGTTTTTGCAACATTCTACTCACATTTAAAATTTAAATATTTTCTGAATGAAATAATAATGATATAATTATCATGCTAAAATATAAATTTATTACTAAAAAATATATGAATTTTTCATAATTTTAAATGATGGTTTTGATTAGGCTCACTTAATTTGCAAGTAAATAATGTGTTGTTCACATTTACACCATTTATATGGACTTATCTTCCTTCCTGGTTAAAAAAAAAAAAAAATCTTTCTTCCTGGTAGTTGTATGTTGAATCTCTCTTCTGTGTTTAGTTAGGAAATTTAATTTTGTTTCTCAATGTACTTGAAAAGGTTTTTCAAATCTATTATTTATCATTTGCATCAATAATATTTGTTTTTCAAATGCTAATGCTAATGTATTCAATACTAGACAATGATTTTTTTTTTTTGCACATTCCTTAGAAGTAAATTGATTCTTTATTTCTGTTTTTTCATGGAAGAGGCGGTGATGATAATATTCCTTTGTTTGCATACCTAAAAAAGTGCAGCTGTTCATGATAGGCTTAATGTTTAGCATCACATAGAAATAAGTTGGATTGCATTCACGTGGAATAGGTGGTTAGCTGTGATGTTGTGTACTTGGGGATTGTAATATGTTTAATTGTGTACATTGTCTTTGAGATGCTCATTTAGACTTCCAATTGTTGTGATGTGTGAGAGTTGTTTTAAGTTTTATGGAGGGTATTAGGAATACCTATTGGCAAGCTTTTTTTATACGGTGCTCTTGATGGTTTTTGTCCATCGGCTATAAGTACTCATTTTTAATTTAATTTTATTTTTTTTCTCCTTTTGTTATTTTTTTTATTGAAAGATAGGATTAAATTTATATTCAATTTATCTTATTTCAAATATAGTAGAAGTATAAATCATGTATGTTGATACAAATATTTTATTTAATATTGATATATAATTTAATATCTTTGATACAACATATCATATATGATGCACTTGTATTTATACTAGTATATAGGTATGTTAAGTTAGGTAATCCGAGAGTTTAGGGTTTGCCTTTCATCTAATATATAATAAAAAAATAATATATAATAATAGATATGTTAATTATTATCTTCCACAGCCGTCTAGGGTTTGCCTTTCATCTTCTCTTTCATCTTCTCTTTTCGTCGTTCGGCTCCGTTGCTTTTGCAGGAGGTGTAGAGATTGCAGGCGTCGCTTCTTCGGCTCCTTCGTGGCTGTTCGACTTCGCTCCTGCGACGACTTCAACCCCGGATCGGAAGTTACGACATTTTGATCGGAAGCAAGAACGGGAGCTCGCTGGCTGTGAAGGTAACTTTCTCCCTTTCGCGCGCTTCTTCAGATAAATCCCGCTCGGATTTACTAAATCGCGAATTTAAGCTGTAAATCCGTAAATCCCGGATTTACTGAATCCCGGGATTTAACGCGCGCACAAAAACTGTTTGGCTGGATTTAGCGTAAATCCGACGCAAATCCCGCTGTAAATCCGATACCAAACAGCCCCTAAATCCTGTTTGGCAGGATTTAGCATTAATCCTATTCAAATCCTGCATCCAGACAACCCCTTAATGACTTTATTGGGTAGACTTTTAATACGAATCTTGTTTAGATAGCAGGCTCATTAATCAATATTCTCGGAGGAAAACAATGGAAGTGTGAGTTTTCCAGTCTTTCTCCCAAATATGAACTTTTTTTTTCCTTATTTAGTAGGTTATATATAGCGGATTTTGAGATCTTCTTCGGTGATTTCAGTGTTGCATCGGCTCCCGGGAAAGTGCTCATCTCCGGCGGTTACCTCATTCTGGAGAGACCCAATGCCGGGCTCGTCTTAAGCACGAATGCTCGATTCTATGCAATAGTGAAGCCGCTGTATGAAGAGATTAAACCAGAGAGCTGGGCGTGGGTGAGTGCTGCATTCCTCCGTTTCATTCTACATATTATTACAGGTTTTATTTTGATTTCTCTTTTCTTTTCTATGATCTTCTGTGTGGTGGTGGATTGAATTTTGATGAGATGTTATTCGGAACTATATTTGAGCGCCGTTGTGTTTAAATTTTTATTTTGTTTGATAGTACTTCCTTGTTTGATTGATTTTTTTTTGGGGGTTTTTTTGTGGTTTTGTTTTCCTTCTAATTCCCCGTTTCTCTGCCAGTCTTGGACGGATGTGAAAGTTTCATCTCCCCAACTTTCCAGAGAGGCAACATACAAACTGTCACTTGAGAAATCAACGCTTCACTGTACCACCTCAAGGCAAGTTCATAGCGTTGCATTTAGTTGTGTATTATATTATGCTAGGTCGTTATTATTGTTTTATTTTTGTAGAAAAATTCTCGTCTTTGTACTAATGAATGGCTAATGATTACAATATTCACAGTTCTGCCCTAGGTTGCACAGAGTCATGAAAATATTCCCGCTTGCACTTGTGATGGAGGAAGGTTTATATCAATGTATCATTTTGTTAGAAGAAGACTACTCTTTGCATTCGTTTTTTCCATGAGAATGGCTAGATACTACATGTTTGTACATTTGGATGAGTGAAGAGGAGAAGTTATCTTCATTCCTTCAAACTGTAGTATTTGCTTAGATCTCTTAGCTCCAGACTTTGAGAGGTATCCTTTGAATCTAGTGAAATGTCAAAGTTCTCCTCCATTCTAAAGATCTTGTTTTCTTCATCTTGTGTTGATTTCAGTGGTCTTCTACTGTCCTGTAACATATAGGGCATCGCAAAACATGATGCTTCTTATTAATATCTGCAAAATATGCTTTAAACATATTTCATTTTTCACATTTACTTTCAAACAAAACAATATCTTAGTTTTCTTCCTTTTTAAGTAGAATATTGCATTTTATGGAATAAAATAACATGCCTATTAATTGCATATTGTTGCATCGTGCTAACATTTTCTACTATGTAATGATAATGTGTTCATTAGTAATGAGTGGTTGTGGACTACTTTTTGTTTGGTAATGTTGTGTTGATCTGATATGTGGTTTGCTACGAAACAAAGTCGCTGGTGCTCTAGATATACAGAGCAGTTTCTCTAAAAGTGTTTTGGCCATACCATGAGGGAGGTGCATTGACAGTATAATTTCTCTAAAGTTTCTGCACAAATCAGAGTGTGATATGTCAGATTTTATATAATCAAAACAGCTGAAAAGCATTAGCCAACAAAGTTAAGTAGTTATATTAGCGTTTACCTGCACCTGTACTGCTTTAAACCTATGAATTGTTTTTGTTCATCTCCATTTTAGGTCTATCTCAATTTTAGCCATCATTTTTAATGCAATATTTTTAGATTATCATCTTGTATAATTTCTTCTTGGGATTAAACATTTTCAAATTTATATTCTATTCTACAATATTCTTCAAAATTTATCATGATCTTTTCTATTTGCATTTTGGAATTCTTTCCTTACTATTTCAGGAATTCTGTGAACCCTTTCGTTGAGCATGCAGTGCAATATGCAGTAGCAGCTGCAAGGAGAAACTTTGTTGAAAAGGGGAAGAAGGATGTGCTAGAAAAGGTTCTTGTGCAAGGTAATGTTTGTTATGTATGACAGTTTAAGTAAGAATGTTATATCGGTCTAGAGAAAAAAATTTTAAATCATAACTTCATGTAGATTATTTATTTATTTGCATACAGGGCTTGATATTACCATCCTAGGAAGCAATGACTTCTATTCATTTCGTAGTCAGGTATCTCTATAATCTGCCTTATCACAATGATTTGGGGTAGGTTTTATAAATTATCATTTCTAAGTTGTTTTTGCTATATGCTACTTGAGGTGGTTAACTTATTAATCATGAACAACTTCTATGAGTCTATCCATGTTATCTTAACTCATAGAGTTCCTCTTCCTCCTCCACCATACTTGTGTTTTTTTTTTTTCAAGCCACAATTTTAATTTATTTTTTTGTTGAATGGCATGCAATTGGCTTTTTAAATTTCATCTTAAAATTGAAAAAACACATGACCTCGATAACTAATTCTTCTGCGGTTTTGCTTCTAATGCTTGCATGGTAACCAGTGCCATCTGACTTGTTTTTATCATGTTGCTCCAGAGTTGCATTTGTATTAATTTTTTGCCCTAAACTTTCTTTATTTCAATATCCTAATACCTAATATTATTGAACAATTCATAAATTGTCCTAAATTAGATAGTTTTTTAATTTCAGATTGAAGCGCATGGGCTACCTTTGACACGAAAAACATTGGCAACGTTTCCATCATTCTTCTCTATCACATTTAATACTGAAGGTTCGAATGGAACAGTTTCTAGAAGTTGCAAACCTGAAGTTGCTAAAACTGGATTAGGGTCATCTGCAGCAATGACTACATCCGTTGTTGCGGCTCTACTTCATTACTTTGGAGTTGTCAAACTTCCATCTTCATCTATATCTCTGACTGAACAAGTATCAGCTGAGTTGAATATTGATATGGTGCATATTATAGCTCAAAGTGCTCATTGTTTAGCTCAAGGGAAAATAGGCAGTGGATTTGATGTTAGTGCAGCAGTCTATGGTAGTCAACGTTATGTTCGATTCTCACCTTCAGTTCTTTCTTCTGCTCAGGTGATTTGCACTTCTATTTGCATGTCTGGGACGACCTTTTCTTCTCGTGTATTGAAGCATTACTTGAGTTGCTTTATAGTGTCATTATTCTGGCATTTATTCAAGAAATGAAATTACCTTGGTTAAAAATATGAACTCCTAAATAACCTCGACTATTAGCCAAAATTATAATTATAAATATAGTCGGAAGTGAAAAATCTTACCTCCAGTCATAGTTATTCAATTTGAGATGCACGCTAAGAAATTGACAATCAATTTTAACACTTTATATCCCATGAAATGATGGAATTACACTTGCTTATCTTGTTAGATTAGATAATTCAATTGATTGTTTTTCATATATTTGTTCTCCTGTCAAGAATATTTATACATATGAAAAACATATTTATCAAAAAAAACTTTTTGTGGGCTGAAGCCCTTTGAATTTTCATATAAGCAAGACGTTTAAATTTTTATATTTCACATTGGAAGATATTCGAATAAGATGTCATGTCAACTGCCACTCCAATTTACTTGTATATGTTGGGCGTATAGCATTACTCTAAATAGAAATTTGATAAGCTAATCTAATCTGAAATATTTGAGTATTGAGACTAATATCTCTTACTTGTACATTTAAATGCTTTAACCTTTTTTTTTTTGCTTCCTCTAGATTTTATTTTTAAGAATAGTTAGGTAAATTTAAGTAATAAATGAAACAATAATGTCCAATTCTTTTATGCTTTATTCCACATATGACCCTTCTCCTTTGCTTTCTTTCACTCGCTTTGGTTTTTATTTGATAATTAGATGAGATGATTGTAGGAATGTCAATTTTATAAATTTTCAAAGTTTGATATGTGTCTGGAAAGAATATTTGTTCTTCTTTTGGAAAATTTGTTTTTAAACGCTGAAGAATGATTATTATTATTTTGGTATCCTATTTTGAAACCCCAGGTTGGAGGAAGCTATATGCCTGATGTGATCTCTGACATTCTTAATGCGAAGTGGGATCATGAAGCATCTCGATTTTCTTTGCCTCCACTAATGACACTTGTGAGTTTTTCGAGCTGCTCAATCCGTTCAATCAAGTGTGACTGTTCAAATTTTTTAGATGTAACGAGTAATTAATATCACACTTATGGTAGTTTACCTTCCAATGCCTAACATAATTTTTTTTTCATTTCCTGATTCTTATATATTAAATCAATTAGTGCTAATTCCAAAATTTTATGTAACAAACATGATTTAAAATTATGCAATATTAAACAGGCCTTAATATTTTTTTTAAAAAAATTCACAATGAGGTTTGGGTGCTATGTGCGGTGTACGCCTTATATGATGTGAGGTGTGCTTTGCCTTAGTTTTGGTGAGGTGTCTGTAATTTATAAATATAAATACTTCTTCCCTTACTGAGCGATAAATTATAATTATAAATGATTTAAATTCATAAATATTATATTCAATATTAAAAAAATTATTTTAACTTTTAATTATAAATAAAAGTTAATAATTATAAATAATTTAAATAAAATTGAATATATGTATAATGATATTTTTTAAAAATAATAATTTTTTATGTCATTATTTAAATTAATATTCTTTCTTTCTACAGAAAACTCACATCTAAATTGCATTTTGCATGGAAAATACAAAGTAGGATTGTGTTTTCTATTGAAAATGTAAAGTCCAATCGCGTTTTCCATGTAAAATTGAGAATCTTGCGTTTATTTTTCAGTAAGATTGATGGGAAGCATCTTAAATTTGTAATACTATCTCTAGATTAGACTAGAAGTCTATCAACTTTTCATTCATGCTCAACTATTGGCAGTTGCTTGGTGAACCTGGCAGTGGTGGATCATCTACTCCATCAATGGTAGGTTCAGTGAAGCAATGGCAGAAGTCTGATACCAAAAATTATCTTGAAACACGGACACGACTGGCAGATGCTAATGCAAAGCTTGAAGCTCAGCTGAATTTATTAAACAAGTTTGCACGGGAACAATGGGCAATTTATGAACACATCATGGGGATGTGCTCAAATTCTGCACATGAAAAGGTACCTCTTTTCTCAGATATGCCATCTAATTTACTTTATTTTTAATGCTTTTAACGTACAAGAGTTTTTTTTTCTTTCTTGAGATTGATCATGGAGGTAAATTACTTCGATTAATACATGAAATTAGAGAAGAAAGTAAGTATTTTCTGTGAATTGCTTGCTTTATACATCCAGGACAGGTTTATACAACAACAATGATGCAAAACGAAGCTGAAATTGAAGAGGGATTCAATCAAAATTAGCCACAAAACAAGGACATAATAGGAAGCTAAATAAGAGTGCTCTTTATTAAATTCCTGCAAAACATGGATTGTAATGTCACGTTTTCCACATTCCCCTCAAGTTTGAGAATAAATACTTGTCATTCCTAGCTTGAGTATAAGACGTCTTATCTTTTCACATGCACATGTTTTCATCCTTCTTTTCCATTGCACACGTTAGCAATACCGGGTTCCGGTCCGGGTCGGATCGTCGGGCTGCACGGTCAAGAGTAAGAGCATGTGCCGACATGTTATTGGCATCCGGTTGTAGAGCTACGTCAGGTGTCCAGACATAGGTAGTGAGTATTATTGGGGATTTGGGGCTTGCTGCTGTGACTGCAACTTCTCTCTAATGTTTTTTTCATTTCTTGCTTGCCTGATCTAAATTTCCTTATTTCTTTCATTTTAGAAAAAGTGTGAAGTGTAGATCTGCAATCGTTTATTGGTTGAATCTGAAAGTGTTTCAAAATCTACTGCTTTTATTTTTATTTGTAAAGCTAAACGCCATACATAACTTCAAGGTTATGCCCTCTAAATATATTTTCTAAAAAATAGAATTATCCTCATGCTTGTGCAGTGGATGGAGCAAGTTGTTGATCAATTTCAAGAGGAAATTGTTAAGTCACTTCTTGGAGCAAGAGATTATTCCTTCGAGATTAGGTTTCTTATGCAACAGATGGGAAAAGCTGCTGGCGTACCTGTATGTTTTTTTTTTGCCTTTTTTTCTGATATTTAATTGTATAACTTTTGCATTGTTATTAGAGAGGTATTATTGCTCCATTCTTTGCTTTTTACAATACTTTTAATGACATTGTTTATCTTAATTTTCTATTTGGGCTATGAAACAATTTTTTAGAAGCTGAACCGAACCTATTGTTATTGACAACTATTTTGAGAAAGTTCTCTTACGTGCATTTATTTAGTTCGTTTGGTTTGATGATACTAGTTTTACTTCCTGTAAACTAATGAAGATTTTTTTGTAGGATTTGATACTCTTTAGAACTTTTCTTATGTAGGTCAAAGTCATCTAGTTTTCATTGGTAGTCATAGTAAAACTATATATTTTTCATTATTTACGCCTGGCCAGTGTCTCTTTATATCAATATGTTTTGGGCTAGTCTGACATGTTGATGTGCAGATAGAACCTGAATCACAAACTCAGCTTTTGGATTCCACAATGAATATGGAAGGCGTTCTGCTAGCTGGAGTTCCTGGAGCTGGTGGCTTTGATGCTATTTTCGCCATCATCATTGGAGAAGCCACGGAAGCTGTAGCAAAGGCCTGGAGCTCAATAGGTGTTCTTCCATTGTTAGTTAAGGAAGATTCTCACGGTGTATCACTAGAAGCAGGCGATCCCAGAAACAGAGAATTGACTTCTGTCATATCATCTATCAAAATAAGCTAGAAATAAATTAGATATATTTATTGTAAACGGCATTTTGAAAATAATTGGTAGTTTAAATTCATTTGCACTTTATTTTCTGAATCTGATGTATTTGTATTTAGGGGATAATAAAATCGCAAATCGTCTATCGTGCCATACCTTATTTCTCGTTTAATAGACAAGCAGAAATGTTCAATAGCATTTTTCAATGCTATGTTTTGTATTGATAAAATTTTCAATGTGTAACTTTTTATATGTTATAGAGATTGTGATTATGAATATTTTCAGTATTTGTTTAAGATTTTTTATTGGGTGATTCTGAAAAAATACTGATTTTTATTAATTCAAAATTTATTTTATATATATATATATATATATAATTAGTATTTTAGTTCAATTAAAGATTAAGAATATTATTATATATGATTTCTAATAATTTGATTAATTTCTAAAATATAAAAATTTTGCTCATTAGAAATTTTTGTTGTTTATTGTTAGGATATTTGAACATTTTATGAATTAAACTCTATTATATTGTATTTAGTATTTACTATAATGCATTATAAATGAATGTTAATATATGATTGAGTAATTATTGGTCGATATTATTGTTATAGTACTATGATAAAAATGTGTGTAAAAGATAAACATAAATTGATTGACTCGTTCGTTGAAGATTGATGGACCTGTGCATGATGGTAGGACAAAGAGTTTTCTTTTAAATATTATGGTTGACTGTTAAATATCCTCTACTAATATAACGATTGAGAGTTATTATGAGTTATTACTATGTTGAAGGGAAAAGAGCGATGACTCTGTTTATTGAGTTAACGATTGCCGACTACCGATTATTGATTGTCAACCACTGATGACTTTATTATTTTAACATCAATATTGTACTATTTTAATAGCTTTACTATTATTGCATATATTTTATTATTCTTACATAGATTCATGACCATATTGACTATTATTGTTATAAATAGAATGAATTCATGCATATTATTTTTTATGGGCTTTGAGTTCAATAGTAGAGTTTTAGCGACTTGTTGGATTCATAAGCTCATTATATGTGATTAATGATTTCAGGCCAGAAAAGAAGTTGAGGGTGTGAGGACGATCAGATACAAGGTTCTTCAGGTTTTATTATTATTTTGTCATTTAGTTATTCTTTTGAGCTAAGGAGTGAGGAGTGAGTAGACAATACATTTTATTTGTATAACCCGTGACTTTTGTAGTTTTGTATATAATTTTTTGGGTAAAGAATACAAATTTAAATTAATATTTTGATTAATAGATTTATTTTCACTTGTATTTTACATTGAAAGAAAGTAGATAGTTTTAATTGTTGCTATAAAATATAAAAGATATAATTATTTTCAATCTAGGACGTAGTGCTTATACCGCTGATGTGGTGCATTCTGATTGCTCTCCAAATGGAATTTTTATTCCGTCAGGTTACCTGACGTAGAGCTACATCATATAGCCTATAATATGTCGTCACGTGCACTTACTCTTTACTGCGCGGCCCGACGACCCGACTCGGACCAAATCCGGGATTACTATGTTCGCGTATTGCTCGGTATTTGCTCGATATTGCTAGGTATTACTCGTTATTACTTGATGTTGACCTCGTTTTTGTCTTGATTTTCCCTCGAGCATGTTCGAGCGAGTTGATCGAGTCTCGTCGAGCTCGATTCAACTCAAATCGACACTAATTTGAGTTTGATTTATTTTTTATCTTATTTTATTGAATTAATTTTTGTCGAGTCGAGGCGAGCTTGAGTTGACCCAGATCGAACCAAATCCGGCTCAGTCTGAACCTGATTTCTTCCTTTGAGTGTAGCTAAATCCTAATCAAAACATGATTAATCTTCTAAATCAATTTGAATCACACCGTTAAAAATATTTTTTTGATCGGACGGCTCCGATCTACCCTCTCCCTTGGCGCCCTAATTGAGACAAAAGCCTCCATCCGCTCCCACTCACTCGGGGTTGGCAAAAACAAGAGAGGCGGAAATTCCCCTCTGGCTTTCTCTCCTCCGTTCGCACAAGGCCAGACGAAACCCCCTCCCGCTGGGCCGCTCTCCTTGGTTCTCACGAAGACAAGAGCCGAGAGGCTCTCTCTCCCGGCCGGCCCTACTCGAAGGATCTGCTCCCGTCACTCTTAGCCGACGACCTCCCTCGTCCCTCTTATTTTTCTCTCGCTCACGGAGGCCAGCCAAGGCCGAAGCCCATCTGACCCCTTCGCTAGAGCCGAGCCCCAAGCAGAACTCCTACTCCGAGCCGACGTCTCCCTATCCCACGCGACTGCAGCCGACCCCCGCTCGACGTCTGGAGTCGAATCCAAGCCCAGGTCGCGACCTCCTCTTGCCCTAACCGAAGCTTTCTCCCCCTTCAAGCAGGTATATATATCTCTCTTCTTCTCATTCCTTCTCCTTCTCCACTTCCTTCGTCTTCACCATTTCCTTCTTTCCCTTCTTCTTCTACCTTCTCCTTTCTTTCTTTCACACTCATTTTTGGATGTAAGCAATGAAACATGTTCTAGATTCCCTAAGAAAAATCTGAGAAAATTTATGGTATTGAGTTGAATACTATCATACAAATGCTTTGGGTTTTGAGTATCACATTATTGTCCTTATAATATTGGAATTTTCATGAATCATCTTGTTCAAATGGGCAGCACTGTGAAACGTTTTGCACTTTTGTAGTTAGGTATTGATGTCTTGAGAAGGAGAGATTATTTTGTGCGGACGTCGAACACAGCTCTATATTTAAATATCAATTAAAATAAGCTACGTCAGTCATACCAAGTCGCGGTACCAAGCAGTACTGACGCTCTGGTACCGGGGTACGGAGCTGCGGGCTTAGGCATCCGGACGGGATCCGCTCCCGCACAGAATAATTTTTTCCTGAGAAGATGGAGTACCCGGTTGGTGTAATAAGAAAATCGGATGTTTCTTCATGTTCAAAAGCTAAGCAAACACATCTTTTACACACACTTGGCATACCGTAGTATTAGGTTTTACTTTATATTAAATCGTAGTCATAAAACAATTTTCTGCTTATCAAATGCATCATCAAAGCTGCTATACTGTGGCAGAGGATCGTCTATCTTCTGTGCCCTCCTTGAATTTTCTTTAGGAGGATGAAATCATCAATTTGGAGAGCTGTCTAATAATAAGTTCTGCTATTTGCAGCTCCATTAAATTTATATTTTTTAGGCTGCTAAACTATAAAGATTATTTCAAATCTTGCAGATAGAACCTGAATCACAAACTCAGCTTTTGGATTCCACGATGAATATGGAAGGCGTTCTGCTAGCTGGAGTTCCTGGAGCTGGTGGCTTTGATGCTATTTTCGCCATCATCATCGGAGAAGCCACGGATGCTGTAGCGAAGGCCTGGAGCTCAGTAGGTGTGCTTCCATTGTTAGTTAAGGAAGATTCTCACGGTGTATCACTGGAAGCAGGTGATCCCAGAAACAGCGAATTGACTTCTGTCATATCATCTATCAAAATAAACTAGACACAAATTAGATGTATTTATTGCAAACGGTATTTTGAAAATAATTGGTAGTTTAATTAGATTGTAGTATATTTGCACTTGCCCTGTCAACCTATTTTTTCAATTTCATTTGCACTTTTGTTTCTGAATCTGATGTAATTGTATTTAGGGGATAATGAAATCGCAGAACGTCTATCACACCATGCCTTATTTCTTGTTTGATGGACAACCAGAAATGTTCAGTAGCATTTTGTGTTGATAAATATTTTATTGTGTAATTTTTTATATGTTATAGAAATTGAGATTATGAATATTTTAAGTATTTATTTGATATTTTTATTGGGTGATTTTGAAAAATTAGTGATTTTTATTAATTCAAAATTTTATTTTTACATATAAAAAGTGTTTGTTCAATTAAATATGCATAATATTATTATATATGATCTTTAGTAATTTGATTAATTTTTAAAAATATAAAATTTTGCTCATTATTTATGATGCCTATCATTAGGATATTTTAATACTTTATGAATTAAATTAAATTATATTTTATTTATTATAATACATGATAAATGAATGTGAATATGTGATTGAGTATTAAACGGTTGTTATTATTGTTATAATATTATGATAAGAATGTGTGCATAAAAGATAAGTAATAATTGGTTGACTCATTGGTTGAAGATTGATTGACTTGAACAGAATGGTGAGCTTTCCTTTAAATACTAAGGTTGGCTATTAAATAACCTCTACTAATATAATGATTGAGAGTTATAAGGAGTTATTATTATGTTAAAGAGCAAAGAGTGACGACTCTGTTTACAGAGCCAATGATTATTAACTACCGATTACTGGTTATTGAAAAATATCATGATAACCAAAACTTTTTATGATTGATCAGGATTTCACTGGTTTTATTTTTATTTATAGTTATTCTTTTATACTCAAGAATGTAATTATATGCTCTGATTATATGATTCTTTAGTATTTTAAATGATTTATTTTTTGGATCAATGAATTAATATAGATGTGTATTTATATTTTAAATTATAGAATTTGTTTCCAGTGTTTATTACTAATAGATAAAATTAGACAGCTATGATTGTTGTATAATAAAAGATATATATATATATATATATATATATATTTTTCAAATTATATTCTAGTTAAGGATAACTCCCATTATGACTTTCGATCCAACAAAAACAATGTCCTCATTGAAGGAGGAGAAAAATCTAGCTTGAGCAACTCTTTCAAAACTCTGCTTCACGCAAAGTCGAAGCAGCTGTAACAACGTCTCAAAAATATGAAAACTACACACCTAAGCTTTGAGCTCGCTAAAATTTTGGAAATTAATTCAGTGAGGCGATGCTGTTGGCAATGCTGCGTCGCAGTGCTGTGTTACTTGCAATGCTACAGTATTTGGGTCACTTGGGTGGCGCCCATCACTAAAAGGAGTTTATATATCTCAACGGCCATGTGAATGAATAATAACTGACCATTATTATTTTTGTAATATTATGTGTGTAAAAATAATAAAGATTGGTTTATTGTTGAGGTTGGCTAGAGACTGTTTTAAACGTGTAATGAATGGTGAGTTGTCAGGCTTTCCTTTAAATATTATGGGTTGTGTTGTTATCTTTTACTGATTCACACGATTTACTAATTAGAAATTATACGAAGTAATTATTGTGCCAAGAGCAAGAGTGAAGACTCTAATACTGAAAGCCAATTATTATTGGTTAGCTATTGCTAGACTTTGCTGAAAAATATCATGTAAGCCAAAATTTCTTACTTGTTTAATATGAATGATTGACCATGCATATTAGATGCTCATATGTATTACTACTGATTCATTGTACTGATTTATTATTATTGAGCACGCGATTTAGATACTGATTTATAATAAATGAGCATCATATACTTTCTTACATGATTCCTCAATAGTACTGTACCGTTATAAATTTCCAACAATTTTTATAGATACTTTTGTTTTATTGATTTATATGCTTTCTTTTTTGTTTGGATGATATTGCTATGATAATTGGTTTAAGAATAATGATTTATAGCTTTATTGTTTTGAGTTTTGACATCCATATTGTACTATTTTATAGGTTTTATTGTTATTGTATATATTTTATTATTCTTTTATAGATTCATAATCATATTGGTTGTTATTGTTATAAAAAGAATGAATTCATGCAAATTATTTTTTTTTCTGTGCTTTGAGTTCAATAGTAGAGTTTTAGTGACTTGCTGGGTTTCATAAGCTCGTTATATGTGATTAATGATTTCAGGTCAGAGAAGAAGTCGAGAGTCTGAGGACGATCAGAGGCAAGGTTCTTCAAGTTTTACTATTATTTTGTCTTTTAGTTATTCTTTTGAGCTAAGATGTGAGTAGACAATACGTTTTATTTGAATGGTCTGTGACTTTTGTATATAGTTTTTTGGGTAATGAATACAAATTTAAATTAATATTCTAATCAATAGATTTACTTTCATTAGTATTTTATATTGTAAGAAATTAAATAGTTATAATTGTTGCTATAAAAGATATATATTTTTTTTTCAATTTAAATTCTAAGACATAACAGGAAAAGCAAACCCTAGATGGTCAACGGCTCTAAGAAAAGCATAAACAAAGACAAAAGATAAGTGAAATTGTAATAGCAAGAAAAAAAAAAAAAAATCAACTACTCATTTTCCATTTCTGTTTTTGCTCTTGTTAGCTTTTCTGTCCTTTTTTGCTTATCTTCCTTTTTCTCTCTCTTCACATGCTAAACTAATAGAAAATCAAGTGGGGAATAGAACTAACTAGTTGGATAATAAGTTATTATAGTTGATATTTAAGTCTTAATTTAAAGATTAGAGCTTAAATAAGGGATTTTTTATATTTCATTAATTTTTTTTTTGTTAAAATCATATCTGGTGAGATAATAATGTAATATTATAAAAAAAAAGTATAAAAATCATTGAGAAGTTTGTAAGCATTATTTAATTTATTGATTATAATAAAATATTAAATTTTTTGCTTTGAATTTTCTCTTATGCATATTTTTATATCTACTTATTTATGTAATGATTTTGTTCACTCTGAAAAAAATATTCGATTCCACTCATTAGTCCGGAGAGAAATTATTCTATACAGACACTGGATGGTCCGGAAATCAACCAGAATGCGTCATATCACATGATACCGAGCATTACTAAGCATCACCATTGAACAAAAAAAATGACATAACACATTTTAATTGATCTCCAAACGCCATCCATCCGATGTCCGCACAGAATAATTTTTTCCTCTACCTACCTAACCAGAAACACTTATTTTAATTAGTAGACGACCAGTTGCTATCGGCCGAGAGCGTGATATTTGCAAAAACGTTGGGAATTGTCGACTTGTCGTAATCACGTGGGAACCGAATTCAAGAACAATATATATAAAGATCAGAAGTGAGGGAGCTCAGATTGATGGGTGTGAGTTTATTTAATTGGCTCCAAAGTCCAGAAAAAAAAAAAAAAAAAAAAAGAAAGCCTAAAGTTGTCTCCTCTCTTACAAAGTTCAGGACGTAGCAAACAGAACGAGCATCTCCGGCAAGAATGGCGGCAGATAGCAGCAGGGTTCTTGTTATCGGGAGCACAGGCTACTTTGGCAAGTTCATGGTAGACGCAAGCTTGCGGCTCGGTCACCCCACCTTTGCCCTCGTGCGCGAGAGCACGCAGGCCTCCGACCCCGAGAAGGCCAAAGTCATCGAATCCTTCAAGTCTCGCGGCGTCAATATTATCTATGTAAGTCTTTCTAAGCCGATTTTACAGGAGCTCTTCAACTGATTTAGTGCATCCGCAGGGGAATATTTACGAGAAGGCAAAGCTGGCGGCGGCATTGAAGCTGGTGGATGTCGTGATCTGCACGCTGAGCCATCGTACACCGCATCTGTATGAGGACGAGGTCATGCTCATCCTGGCAATCAAAGAAGCAGGGAATATTAAGGTCGGTATGTTTTCTTGGTGTTTGATACCCTGTTTGTTATCTCCAGTTGTAGAGAGCCCGCTTGGACTAGGTTTCGGTTTCGCCATAAATAATTGAACGCATTTACTGAGCGGCTTAATTAGTATCCAGCTTAGGACTGAGAACATGATGCGTGTCAAAATGTTTGGAATTATGAAGTAGTAGTAGAAAAAATATTTCAGTATTAGAAAATCTATTTATTTTACTTTCATGTCAAGAAGATCCAATATGAGAGTGATTTTGGGTAAAGGCAATTAATAAAAGAAATCTTAAGGACATAAAACGTTTCTTTATATGGTTAGTTATTGGTCTAGTGAAGGTTCATGATGTATAAGTGTTTAATATGTTGCAATGTTGGTGGAGAGGTCATGGAAAGGTTAAAGTTGGTGGAAGGCTAAAGGAAAATGTTAGCGAATTTAGAGTTTTTGGATAGCTGGATTATTTTTCTTGCCAAGAAGATCCATTGCGGAAGTAATTTCTATACAAATAAAATTAATAAAAAAATTTCTGGATGGTGAAAAAGTTTCTTCATATAGTTTTCATTAATCTAGAGATGGTTTATGACGGGGAATTTAAGTAGTTAATAGGTTTTAATGTTAATGGAATGGTGGTAGAGAGGTTAAGGTTGGTGGAAGGCTGAGGGAAATCTTGGCTAGTTTAGGGCTTCCAAGCAAATTTCTGGCTGAGAATTTCTTGTAGTGCGATTTTCTTTGATGAAAAATGTTAATATATCTAGATTAAAGGTTTATGAGGTTAGCTAACTTATGTAGATAGAAATTTATAAATTCTTAATACGGACTAATCACAGTAAGTAGACAACATGAGTTAGAACTTTGTTGAAGTGGTATGCTTGGTTTTTGTAAAGGTTAAAATAGTTCAAGGCTTTGGAAGGTGCATCAATGAACCACTCAAAGTTATGAGAGATCAATAAATATGGGACTCTAAATGAGAAAATGTGCAACAAAAAGCTTATTAACATGGATGTTGAATTTAAATATGGGTTCAGGGTCTTCCAAATAAGTATCTAAGGTATATGGGTTAACGATTGAACCTAGGAGTGTAAACGAGTCGAGTCGAGCTAACTTGAGCTCAACTCATCAACTCAGATACAAGCACTAATTCGAGCTCGAGAGCTCATATGGTGAGTTTGAGCTTGGCTCGCCGGAGTTGCAACGAGCTAGAGCTCTACTCATGAGCTTGGCTTGCCTGAGAATGGATGGATCAAGAACATGTACTCGTCAAAGGTACATGACTTGCCATGGGATACTTGCTGGAATAAAGGAATTGAAGGTAGTAATGGGGATGTGCTAACATTAGAAGTAGTAGAAGAAGTTTTCATTTAGAAAAAAAAGAAGAAAATTATATGGGATTGGTGGAAGTCAGACTTTTTTATTTTATCTTATTTAAAATTCGTCGTTCACTTTAAAAAATATTATATAAAAAACTTATGATGGGACAAAACTTATGCGAAAGTTCTGCCTAAGATTTTTTTTTCCTGTTTTTATTTTTATTTTTAAATTAGTGGTTGCGGGAAAAAATTATATATTATTTATTTGAATCAACTCACGAGACAAGCATTGTCGAGTTCGTATAATATACGAACTTAAGCTCGTGGCTCTATAAGTTCAACTCGAGCTTATTAACGAGTCGAGTTCGAGCTAGTTCACCTCACTTACACCTCTTGTTGAGCCTGATACATTTAATTGGAGGCTTATATCTTTGTTATATTTGGGGAGATTTTCTATCATCCTTAAAATCATGTGTACATGTTTCACCTTTTTATTGGTTTTAGCATGAGTTGGTTAAACAAAATTTCAATATGGTTGAATTTTCAACTCTATGATTAAATCTGTCATCAGTTTTATAGGGTGTATAATTCATGTTAAACTTCAATCTTCTAATCTCCTTTCATCAATAGTAAAAGGACATCTCCTAATAGGTATGTGGACTATCCTATGATTATGGGGTTTAGGTTATCTTTGACAATATTTAGATTTTAAAATTTCTTTCATCTTTACTATATTATAGTTTTTCTTTCAGGTCTTTGTTCTTTTTCCCATAAATCATTTCAATTTATGTTAGCCTTTTCTAACAATTTTATCTTTGCAAAACTACTTATTTAATAGTGTTGAATCCAGGAGTATTTGCGGCGGTAGAGAAATATAAAGTTTATCGTCTTAGCGTTGTACGAAAATCCGGTACGCAATCAGATAAGAGAAAGGGTCTAGTATTTATGAGACACCAAGATTTTTACGTGGAAAACCCCTGAAAAGGGGGAAAAACCACGGGGCCTAGCCCAGTTTGAATGAATCCACTAGTATTGCAGTCGATTACAAATGAGGCCCTTCCTTGGTGGAAGGTCTTAGCTTGATGTACATCTTATGGAGTACATTACATGATGTTAATACAAAGAGTCATTGTTGACATGTTCGTTTGGTCGGAAGGACCGTAGTCGAAGGTCGACGGAGGTCGGAAGACCTGTAGTCGGTGGGTGACGGATGTCAGGAGGACCGTAGTCGGCGGGCGACGGAGGTCGAAAAGACTGTAGTCTGACGACGAAGATCAGAAGGACAGCGTCAGGTAGAAATCCAACAATGGAAAGAAATCCATCTTCGCGTAGACGTCCAGCGAAGTCTGATAACCGATAGAAGTCCGGCGTCGGGTAGAAACTTGGCGAAGAGTGAAGGTTCGACGTCGGGTAGAAGTTCGACGTCTGTTGGTGGCAAAGGAGAACTCCGGCTTCACTTGGGCGGAGTTTCGGCATCATGAGGGAACTCTGTTGCAAATTGGGAAGAATTTCAGCATCACGTGGAAGTTGGGAAGAATTCATGCGTTCTCCCAAATATCACGCAGAATCCCGGCGTGTTCGGGCGGCAGGAAGAGCTCCGGCGGTGGTCGAGGAGGAGCTTCTTCCTTCTCCTCCTTCTCTTCTTCTTCTTCTCTCTCTTCACTTGAGTCCCCTTTGTGTAGAATGAGGCCTCTATTTATAGTTTTTCTGGAGTGGCATGACTTGTAAATATGTGTGAGATCACGGGCGAATAGGGAGTGGTTTGAATGGACGGCCGATATTGAACCCTTTGATCATGCACCGTTCGTTGTACATTTGAAGGCCTTAATGATGTCGGAATTCGGCGATCTTGGGCTCGTTGGATTCGTCTCATCGAGCCGTTCGATTCGAGTATAAGCTCGTCAAAATCGGAGACCGTTTGGTAACTCAAATTGTGGTTTGAACCTTCCAACAGCGCATCGGGTCCTTGATTCGGACTCATTTGGACTCAGATTGAGTTGAATTTGGTGTCGTTGGGTTCGTATTTCCGAGACGCTCAGTTTGACTATAAGCTCGCTGAAATCGGAGTTCGGGTGCTCCCAAAATTAATTTTTGAAGTTTCCAACTAGCTTTTGCCTCGAGATTTGTGCCCGATCAAGATAATTTTTAGAGTACGTATCAAATAGCCATCCATGTTATGATAATCAAATAAATATATCAATTGTTTAAGCATATGCTTAGAAAAGCAATAGACTAAAAGGATTCAATGAATTATTGTTATGAGGATGCAAATAAAATGATTGGGGTCATAAAAATCCCTATCTAACTAAGCATGCTTTTCCATGTAATGAAAAATATCATGGAAATTTGAGGAGGCAAATAGATATTTTAATTTTCTTAAGAAAATCAAAAATAGATTAAATGCTTGAAACGACGGGTAAATATTACCATAAAAATCCATCAAACTACAATGACACCAAAAAAACTTAATCACACATGTGCAAGGCCAAAAATTAACGAATTGGAAGGCCAAATTAGGCTCAACCACATTGTTCATCTCTTTTCTATTCGATGAGTTGCATATGACAGGGGTAAAGGATGGTAGTGTATTTGTTGCTATCTCTGTTGGCCAAAAGCTACTTGTCTTCTCATCGTTGTGGAACCACACTAATATTGTCTGGTCGTGTTGGTGTCACTCATTATCACTTGGAAACCACATAACAACCTTGTAATTGGACAAATAAATTATCTATGTGAGGCAGGAGATACTTGTTTTTTACAGCCACCTTGTTCAGCTCTTTGTACTCCTTTTTTCACAAAAAAAAAATGGTGCTTCCCAAGGTAAAATGTCCTTATCAATCAATTTTTGTAACTACATCTTGAGTTCTTGAAGCTCGATAGTTGTTTTACAATACAATGCCTTGGAAATTGGAGTGGTATCTGGAACTAGATCTAATATGAGCTCGATCTCACGATCTAGTGGTAAGCTAGGCAAATCATCAATAAATACATCAATAATTTCTTGAACTATTAGAGCATTGTTTAAGTTTATATTAGGCTTGTTGTTATCCACTATGTGAGCAAGATTACCCACACACCCATGGAAGATCATCTTATGGGATTTGATTGCGAATACAAGATAAGACTATGATCCCTTCACACCATTAAAATTAAAAGCACCCACACAATATATATATATATATATATATATATATATATATATAAGTTTACTTTTCTCTTGTGACAATCTATCATGATATGATAAGCAAACAACCATTCTATATCTAATATTGCATCGAACTCAACTAGTGAAAATATAATGTGTTGCAGGCATATGCACATTATTGACAATCATATCACAATCATGAACACACTAAGTAATTATCATGGATGATCCGGGTGGTACAATAATAGATAAATGTGATTACAATTGAGTTACTGATGCATTTTATGTGAACTTATCTAATATAAATGAATGTGATGCCCTAGAGTCAAATAAAACCCTTACCGGTTGCTTGCATTGGTACATGTGTATACATTGGGAGCTTCGCGAGCGTCTTGTTGTGTCATTATGAATATACAAGATGGAATCTTCTGCCTAGGCTGGTCCTAAGGCTGAGGCAACAATGTTTGATAATTGAACATTTGTTGTAATTGTCGCTAAAATGACATCAAAGATTGTTGTTGCCGGTACTGTAAGGCAAGGCGTTGTTGGCATGATTGAGATGTCATTAATTACTATGACTTTGTTGAGATTGAAGATAATATGATCTTGCCTATTCTTTGAAAATTTTCTTGTGGTGTCAACCTCAATGTGATTTATGCCAACCATTTTTTATGTGGATTTTTGAAGTTATCTCATGCAACCATAGAATTGGATTACTCTTCAGTCTTGAGAGAGCAATCCTTTCTCTTAAACTCTGTATTGTTTGAAGCACTTCCAAGCTACAAACTGCTAAATGCCAATTGTCATAGTGAAGATAGAAAAGATTTTTTTTTTCTTTTGTTCCTAATAATTTTTATGTTTCTTTTTTTTTGTGAATTTTTCATGCTTGAATTTCTAATTTTTCGTTTCCCAACGGCCTTTTCTTTGTGACCATTAATCTTTGTTTATGCATGTGCAGCTCGGTCCACTAACTATTTGAATTTACTGTATTTGGTTGTACATGAATACTTCCTGATAGCCACGGATGAACCCCAGTTCATGTTAGGGTGGGAAAATGCCCACCCTAAAAAAAGATTAATGTATTAGAAGGGTATTTTTGTACATCTATCACCCCTCAAAAAAATTTTTTGCCCTAATTTACTCAATCTCGTGAGTCTCTGCCCATCCCGCTCCCGAAGTCCTAACATACTACAGTTTGTGAATCGCGTCTTCCCACTCCAACCTTCCTCTACTCTTTGCCCTTTGGCTTCGCACTTCACAGCCACAACCTTCTTCTTCGCCCGATGCCCGCGTCTTATCCCTCGTCTTCTTCTTTGCATCTTCTTGGTGGTTTGAAGAGGTTGCCATTCTTCATAGCCTTCGGCCGGATTGAAGCCTTCAAACTTTGCTTCAATTTGAAGTAGTGGCGGATCCAGCCATTTTTTTAGGGTGGACAAACTCGATATATATAAAACAATAAATACATAAAATAGAGATATAATTCACTAGCAAAATTCAAAGCAAAACATTATATTTCATACTTTTTGAAATTAAAAAAAAATTACCAACTTTGTATTTTACCTTGCATTTTCTGATAATGTTGCATAATGACTTCATTCGGAACAGAATCAAATACTTCTTTTTCAATATATGACACTAGACAATCATTAAGCCAGACATCACCCATTTTGTTACGCAGTCGATGTTTAATGATCTTCATTGCAGAAAATGCTCTCTCCACCGTAGCAGTGGCAACTGGTAACGTCAGTGTCAAAACAACAAGTTTATAATTTTTTATCCTTTACAATATGTTTTGCTATAGCAACAATGCTAGTTAAAGATGTAAACTACTCGCTAGTACGCATATCAATAATATAAGCAGATAGCGGATGCTCAAGAGCCACAAGATCAATTATAGAGAAATCTGCTGGATATAACTCTGCAAGACGAATTAACTCTTCCTTATCATAAGCAGAGAACATATTACTTAGATTTAGACATGTCACGTAAAGAAGTAACTCGGTGCTACTTTCTGAGAATCGGTTGTTCAATTCCTAAAGTTGCATATCAATAACTGCGTAGAATAAATCCACTTGATAATAATGAAAGTTTGTAATTTCTGCACATATTCGTACTGACCATCCACGAGCCTTGAAATTAGAATTCATATTTGGAACTTCAATTTCAAAAGCATTATAAAAACGTGACGCTTCTTCGAGTAAAGGCACCCATCCCGACACTATAACCCATTTTAAATAAAAAATATTTATATTAGCTTGTTAATTATAAATTTTAGGTTAATTGATAAAAAATAAGATGATTATACAAACAAATAAAGAAATTAAGGGAAAACATATTAATCTGATCATTTTCAAGTCAAAATTGAGTTGACGGGTCAACTCAAACCCAACCCATTTAATAAACGGGTCGGAGTGCATGACTCAAACCCGAACCATTTATTAAACGGATTAACCCAAATCCAAATTTTTGGGATAAGATCCTCTTTTGACACCCCTACACTAAAGATTGGTATAACCTTCTATAAGAAATGTAAATAATTAGTGAGTTTTAGAATTCAAACCAAACAACTAGTTCCTATCCATTAAAGCATCCGCAAGGAGATGATCATGTATCATGAATAATAAAAAAATATCTATATAAGAGTGACTACAAAGAAACAAATAATTAAAGTCTTAATGTGTAATTAAACATGTCGTAATGCTTATGACATATTCTTGTATGATGATATTATAATTGTGTATGTCAAACTATTATCAATGCAATTACCTTCAAATGTATCCATATACAATCACATTAGGTATCATCATACTTCTCATATATATATATATATATATATATATTCACATTAGGAAAGTAACATAAACCCAAGGAAATCCAATGATTTTTTATAAAGTCATTACTTAGTAGGCCCATAGTCCCAATTAGACTATGTCCAAAAGGATTCTACCAACCTACATATGTCATGCATACAATTTTCATGTTTTCATAAGAACGTTTACAATAGGAGTTATATAGTCAATATGATAATTGTGAATTCTATAAAGAATATGATTTTTAGGAATAATATTTATTGTATTTAATAGAACTAATGTGAATGAAACTAGATTTTCTATAAAAGAAAAATCAACTTCAATTTATAAGAGTCCGTGCAATAATAAATAAAGATAAAGTTGGCTCTATTATATGATAATTAACTTTATTATGAATAATAAAAAGATCTACATATGTATATCAAGAATTAATATTAAAAATCAGGATTGAAAACCTATAATATCTAGAAACTTAATATAAGTAACAAGGATAATACATCTAACAAATAAGAATGCATCTATCTCTTGATAAATAATAGTTACCTCCATTTGTAGCACTCGGACCTACGCTCTGCAAAATCCAAAGAGACAACCTCAGATGTGAACTACACAAAAGTTCTAAATAATATAAACTCTTAATTAATTATAAACATGCAAGTAAATATATAAAAATATACATAGCCTAGACAATGCACATTACACACAATCATTTTGAACCTATGTTGCACCGATACACCTGTTTATGAAGGCGTGTTGTATTCGATACACCGATATACGGATACGCCTCCGATACTCCACCGATACGTGTCAGATACGCCAAAGACGTATCCAATTAAAATATTATTTAATTTTAAAAGGACACGCATATCCGATACACGTGTCCGTTGAAAAACAAAAAGAAATCCGAAAAAAAAGCGTCGTATTTACTTCCACGGCTGCAAGCAAAGTTCTCTCATTTCCGAGATGGATTTGAGTCTCTTGATGATATGAGAATATTAGAAATTACTAATCTTTCACTTGATGAGCCTGAATTAAAAACTATGATATTTATTGAAGATGATATAGAAGTTTAAAGACAAACCACTGAAGTAGCTAATCATATCATTCCTTCTATTGAATAGTTGAAACTTTATGTGCTAGACAATTTATGTTTATGCTTTTGTTGTTGTACTAGACATTTAATGCTTACTTATATAGTTATATTTTGATATTATAAGCTACAAGGCTACAAATGATGTTGTTGTCATTTTTTTTTTGTAATTTCAAATATTATGCTTTGATTGCTTTCTTAATTTTTATGTATTATTTATAAATTATGATGTCGTGTCCGCGCCGTACCCGTATCCTGTATTTTTAAGAATTGACGTGTCCCGTAGCCGTATCGTGTCATATCCGGGTCGCCATATCCGTATCGGTGCAACATAGTTTTGACCTACACTCGAACTCAAATATAATTTTTCCAAATCTATTTATCTAAAATACAAAAGAAGTTGCTTTTAACTACAAGAATATACACTAATTTATTATTAACATGGATGATACAAGGTAAATGTTTATTTTTTGGATAATACAAGGTAATGGATTAATCTATTATAGAAATTAGGGTTTGGGAAGGCCGATCTAACCAGTTTACCATGGGTTATTACAAAAGTCCCTTCAATTATTTAGGGGTGAACTATACTTCTACCAATTTTTATATATTAGACTCCGTGATATTTCTCTTTTGAGGATTTTCTACATAATAAATCTTATATCTTGCTCTATTTTTATTAGACTTTTTGTGAGTGTAATAATAAAAGAACAAAGGCTAAGGGAATCAAGATCAATCTTCAATCCAAATTATTTTTCTGCACCGAATAAAATCCGACCTTTAAATTACAGTTTATTGATGAAGTTAATGGGTAGTTTGCTATTTTTCTTTTTGGTTAATATCTCATCAACCATATTTTGTTGATCTAAAGGTTGTAATGGTTTCTGTCATAATGAAAAATAAAAATAAATTCTCATATGACTTCAAACTCTTGTAATCATCATTTTAGATCACTCATGACCTCTGATAATAATTTCAAGTTCATTGGAGGTTATTTGATCCAAAAACCAAATTTAACCTCTTCACTTGGAATTAAATAATTCATTAATTGAACTAATTTTTAATAAATCATAAATAAATAAATAGAAATCCTAAAAATATAAACTAAATCACATTAGATTCTATATAAAACATAGAATTTAATAAAAATAATAAACATCTGAACTTTAAAAAAAAAAATTCAAATTTTGGTCAAAGTCTTTTAATAAAGGATAAAAGGATAATAAAGTAAATGAATAATCGGTATGATTTTGTAAATGTTACGTCCATGGATTATCCGTAGAGCAGTTAGTTTTTCAACCTCTAATTGATTCCGCTCAATGTAGTTGTTCAACGCATCAGAGTTATTTTTTTAACCCCCAACCGTTTTGATGCAGAGATACATCCCGTCTGAGTTCGGTTTTGATGTTGAACGTCTTGATATTATGGAGCCGGCTAAAAGCATCCTTGATGTTAAGGCTAGAGTCAGACAGCGTCTTAGGGAGGAAGGGGTCCCACATACTATTGTCTGTGGTGCACTTGCTGCTAACTGGTATTTCCTGCCAAGGATAGGCCAAGTGGAAGCTTCAGGTCCACCTACTGATAAAGTCTGCATACTGGGGGATGGCAATACCAAAGGTGACAAATATTACAGCTATTGAATTTTGTTTTCGAATTCAAGATTTAATGAAAATCTTGATAATCCTAAGTTCTGCATTCCTTTGATTAGTTGTATTGGTTAGAGAAGAAGACACAGCTACATACACAATCAAAGCTGCTGATGATCCAAGAACTCTGAACAAGATCATGTATTTGAGGCCTCCGGGCTGTGTCATAACTCACAATGAGATGATTGACCTGTGGGAGAAGAAGACTGGCAAGAAATTTGACCGGATCCATATCCCTGAACAAGAGGTTATTAAGAAGATCCAAGGTATTCTATACATCCTTTACTGTAGATGAATATGTGTATATATAAGTATAAGTGAGGCAGTGCTTTACAAGTGTAAGGATGAGATTGAAAGGGTATGTTGTGATCTCACGGTTGGTATTTAATCATATCTGCATTAAAGGTGGCTGTTCCACTTGCCTGTTGTTGTTAGTGGCCGTTGCTAAGTGTATAATGCTTTTACACCGCCGCAAACTGGCAGTGGAGATTGTAGAACAATTAGTTTGGGTCGAAGAAGTTGAAAATGTGGTGTAGAGAGTGGTTTAGTGGGGATGTTGCTATATGATCAGCGTACTGATAGGTGCCACGAGGATTTTGTGTGTTTGAATGTAAGTGCAAATCAACTTCAATATGTTTCGTGTGGGCGTGGAAGACAGGGTTGTTGGCGAGAGCTATAGCAGAGCCTGCAGAGGTGTTGTCACAGTGGATGGTGGTCGGCTATGTTGGAGAGATGTGGAAGTTGGATAGAAGTCGACGTAACCAAAGTACATCTGTGGCAGCGACTGCTAGAGATGTGCAAGTCGGATAGAAGTCGACGTAACCAAAGTACATCTGTGGCAACGACTGCTAGGGCCATGTATTCGGCCTCGGTAGATGACTTGGAAATGGTTTGTTTTTTCTTGACAGTCTACGAGATGAGGGTCTTGTTGAGATAGGAACAATATCCAGAGGTCGAGCAACGCGTGAGAGGGTCACTAGTCCAGTCGGTGTCTTAGAAAGCTGTAAGTTGGAGAGAAGATTTGGATATTGGAATGCCAAATTGTTGTGTGCCTTGTAGATACCAGAGGAGGCGTTTTAGAAGATGGAAGTGTTGGGAAAGAGGGAAATGCATATGTTGACATAGGGTATTCACGACAAAAGCTATGTCTGGCCTTGTGATGGTCAAATATTGCAGTGAACCAGTAAGTTGCCGATAGAGAGTGGGATCAGATGAGAGAATGTCTATGGGAATTGTTGTGGGTGGTTTGGTATAGGAGGGATTGGATAGCCACTACAGGAAAATCAATTATTACCAATGGAATTTCCCGCCCTACCTGCTGCCCGCTAGGTGGCCTGCCCGCACTGCCCGCCCGATCTCCCGCCCTGCCCGCTGCCCGCCAAGCAGCCTACTCACGCTGCCCGCCTGCTGCCCAGCTGCACACCCTACCCGAGATTCGAATCGAGTCCACTCCTTTTTGCTAAGTCCCAACCATTTTGTTGAGAGGGAAAATGCGTTAGAATTCATATTATAATTTATTTAAACTATATCATACGAAAATTATGATTAAAAATTAATAAAAATAAAATATTAAAGTTAATAATTAAATAAATATGTTATTATATTAATAATTTATTAGACTAAGTTATTAAATTAATAATTAATTAAAATAAATTAATAATTAATTAAAATAAACTAAAATTATTAATTAATTAAGAATAGCCGCTGGAAAAGCTGTAAAAGCCGTCGGAAATTCTTCTGAAAAATTAGGTCGTCGGAAAGCCGTTGGAAATAGTCCGCTGGCAAGCCTCCTGAAAAATTCGCCGGTAATTGACGATTTTCTTGTAGTGAGCGGATTGCACTCAACTAAGTCGGCCTGTTTTAGAGTTGTGTGAGTATACGATGATTGAGAAAGATGTAGTTGATCGTGATGGTGAGTAATTTGGATACCAAGAAAATTAGTAGGCGAGCCGAATTTTTTATGGAGAAGTTACTGTTGAGAGAGGAGATGATGTATAGTAATGTTTGTGGTCATTGTCTGTCAGTAGAATGTCATCGACATAGATTATAAGATGAGCTTGTGTTTGATGTTGGTGAAATGTGAAAAGAAAGGGATCAGATTTGATGTTTTTAAATCCAATGGTGAGGAAATGAATTGAGAAGGTTTTGAACCATTGACAATGAGCTTGTTTGAGGCCATAGATGAATTTTTGGAGTAGGCAAACATGGTTAGGGAGTTACGAGTCCTCAAAACCCACGTGGTTTCTTCATGTAGACTGTTGCAATAATGGAACCATATAGAAAGGCGTTTGTAACATCGAGTTGATGCACCGGCCAGTTTTTTATTACAACTATGGTTATAAGGACACAAATGGATGGAAATTTGGCTATCGAGCTGAAGGTTTATGTGTAAATGAGGCCATATCCTTGGAGATGACCTTTTTAAACAAGTCGAGCCTAATACCAAGTTACGAAGCCGTTTGTGTATCGTTTGGTCTTGTAAGTCCAATGATAGCCTAGGATGGGAGCATTTGGTGGGGGAGGAACAAGGAGCCATGTTTCTTGTTGTTGGAGTGCTAGAAACTCGGTAATCATTACTGAATGCTAGTGAAAATGTTTAGATACTTCGACATAGGTTGTTGGATCGGGTGGAGTGGCGGAGATATGATGATTGAGGTTGAGGATTTGGAGAGGTTTGTGAGAGTCTGCTTTTAGGCGAGTAATCATTAGATTCGATGTAGTATGGGGGAGGGAAGGTTCTTGTGGCAATTCTTCCTGATCGGGGTTTGTGAGAGAGATGAACTTTTGGCAGAGAGATGTAGGTAGTATGAGTTGAAGATTTGGGTGGTGGATGTTAGAGGAACTGGGAGGTGGAGGAGGGTTGGTAGAGTATGAGAAGGTTGATTCATCAAAAGTAACATGACGAGAGATGTAGATGTGATCAGATGTGGGTTCGAGACACTTGTAGTCTTTGTATGAGGTAGCATATCCAATAAAGATAGATGGAGGATACTTGATGGAGAGCTTGTGACGAGCTGTGGGTGGCAGGAGGGGAAAGCAGGCACATCCAAAGATGTGAAGATGATTGTAGCTAGGGGAGCATTGGTTTAATAGTTGATATGGAGATTTGTTGGAATTGGTCATGGAGGGCATCAAATTAGTTAGGTATATAGTCGTAAGTAGTGTGTCGAGCCATAGACTATAGGGAAGATGAGCTGTGTGGAGCAATATCCTTGTGGTTTCACGGATGTGGTGATGCTTTTGTTTTGCTAGGCCATTCTGTTAAGGGGTGTAAGGGCAGCTTATTTGGTGAGAGATGCCATGTAGTTGAAGGTAGGTTTGGAGAGAGTGATTTAAGAATTCTATACCACAATCATTGTGTAAGTATTTTATTGGGAGTGAGAATTGTTTTTCAATAGTTGTATGAAATTTAATAATGACGGATGAAACAACCTATTTATACATAAGAGGAAAAACCCAAGTAAAGAGAGTAAATCCATCCATAAATAGTTTGTAGTATTAAAAACCTTGAGTTGAGGGGATTGGGGAAGGACCTCACACATCGATGTGTATTAGTTCTAGTGGTTTGTAGTTGTAGTTAGTGGATCTATAGAAGGGTAATTTGTGACCTTTTGAGGCCTTACATAAAGAGCAAAGAGTACTAGAGAGAGGGATAGCTAGAGAACTGTTTTTTTTTGGAAATGGTGTTGAGAACATGCTGATGTGGATGACTAAGATGGAGGTTCCATCGTAGTGAGGAGGGAATGGTTGCCGACAAAGCTTGATTTCATCGTCTGTTGAGGGATTGAGTGGATAGTTGGTAAAGGCCTTCACAATAGGGTTCAAAGAGAAGAGTTGAGTTTGTCTTCGGGTCCTTTATGTGAAAGCCCGAGGCATCAAACATGATATTTGGTTAGGTTGGAAACATAAAGTAGATTATGAGAAATGTGGGGAAGATGGAGTAGATTAGGTAGTAGAATCTTACAATTTGGTGTAGGAGGAGACTTTGACCAGAGAGAGCAATGGGAAGAGAACATCCGTTGCCAATTGATACACTGTCAGGACCGATGTACTCTGTTGGTTAAAGAAGTTTGTCGAGGTTGTTGGTGTGATAGGAGGAGGCTCCTAAGTCGAGGATCCAATCGGTGGTTGAGTGAGGGTTGGAGGAAAGTAATATTGTTGAAGGTGAAGGGGTGGGATATTGGGTGATTAGGTGATGCCAGCATATGTTGGCAGTGTGACTTCTCTTCCCACATATTTGACAGGTGGTTGCGCTGGTGCTCGATGAGTTAATTTGGTTGGGAGTGAATGCCGGTCTTGGGGTGGTCTGTATGAAAGAGCGACGACGGTTTGAGAAGGCATTGAAGTGCCCACGGCTTTGTCCTATGCCTCTGGTGGAGTAGATGGTTGCATTAATGTTTGGAGTGGAGAAGTCCTTAGCCGATTTGGTGGAGAGGTTGATTTCTTCACTGAGGAGCAGGGAGCAGAGGTCCTCAAGGCCAACTGGTGTCAATTTGGTTTTGATAGATGTCTTGATGCTTGATATTGTGGAGGCAGTCCATTGAGTGTATAGAGGAGGATATCTTCACTGGCGATTGAGCATCCAGTAGCGATGATGTTATCGACTGGAGTTTTGACATTAGTTAGGTATTGAAGCATGGTAAGTTGTCCCATGGAGATGTGATGTAGCTCATTCTTGAGCTGCATGAATTTGGAATAGTTTGTAGCTTGCAGTCGACATTCCAGAGTGCTCCAGATATCGGCACGTGTCCAGATTTAGGACGTAGGATAGGATGCCTATGGTGATTTTTGAGCAAATGGCTGCTGCTAGATTTTGATCGATTAGAGTCCATCGGTTGTAGGCGAGATTCGGTCTGGAGGTGCCGTCGGCATCGATCAGGATGCGAGGTGGTACTATTGTGCCTTTGTTGAGGAATCCGGCATAGACATCTTCTACGGGAATGTCCGTGGAGATGTCGTTGGTGTGGGAGGAGGAAGCAGCCATTTTAAGAAGTCAAGATTCTGTGAGCCAAAAAGCTCCATTACCTAGTAAACAAAAAGCTGCTTTGCAGCTGAGCTAGTTACAGAAATGGAAGAAGAGGACAGTAGAAAGGTTTCGTGAGAGAGAACCCATATTCCATTTCAATGTAAACTATTCTGTACATCCTTTACTGTAGCTAAATATGTGTATATATAAGCGAGGCAGTGCTTTTCAGGTATAAGGATGAGATTGAAAGGGTATGTTGTGATCTCACGGTTGGTATTTAATCTGCATTGGTGGTGGCTGTTCCACTTGCCTGCTATCGTGAGTGACCTTTGCTGAGTGTGTATATGCTTTTACTCTGCATTGATTAAACATCTTTGTATTTGCTTCTCTTTAGCCATTAAAATTCTTGTTCGTTGTCTACAAGACTAAAAATGGATCTGTAACTCGTCAACAATTTTTGGATAGATTCTTTCATCCTTTTTGTTCTGAATCATTGTTCCTTTGGTGAACTGTTGCAGAAGGGCCTGTTGATATGAGAGGTAGTTACATGATTGCTCATGCTGGCTTTGTGAAGGGACAGTCGATTATAGATATTGATAAGTCATTTGGAGTGGAGGCTTCGGAGCTCTACCCTGAGGTTAAGTACGCTTCCATTGATGAGCTTCTTGATAGCTATCTCTAGAATTTCAGAAGCAAATACTTCAATTGCTTGTAGTATGATTGATCTTTGTATGAAATCTTGGAAACTAAACCAAAACCAAATGTTTTCTGCTTTTATCTATTCGTTTGTGCTTTAATGAGCGAAAATCTGGATAAAAAATTGACTAATATAGATGACAGGTTTGTTTTGCACTTTGTTATCTGCAGTGTTAAATTTAAGCTTCAACTTCAAAGTTCAAACTTAGCATCTCTGTCAAATGATTCAGCCTTAGCATCTTTGTTTTTTGTTTTATTCCTAGTATAAAGTTTGGTTTTGGTGTTTTTTTTTTTTTGAGGGTTTGAATTCGTCATATTGAATAAATACTTTGTTTATAACCAGTGAACGATGAACCCTTTTACATTGTTGGAATAAACATCTGCTCAATCTACTTCATGTTCTTCAACCATTCCTTTTTCATTGAGGTTTTCTCTATCACAGGAAGGGGTGTTTGGTTTGTTGTAAAAGAGTTATAAATTATTTCAAATACAAGTATTTTGAAAATATTGAAGTTTGGTTTGAAGTAAAATGAATGCAAAGTAAAATTTTGAAGTAAAAGGAATTCACCATCTAGTTCAAATCTAATGTATTTGAAATTCTTTCTATTTGTTTTATTTGCAAATACATCTAAAAATCATTGTAATAGCCATCATCAGACGCCGACCACCACTACCACCAATAGTCACTGCCAACCGCCACTATCGGCCACCACTAACACCGACTGCCACCATCACTGCTGTTCACTATATTTTTGCACTATACATTGCATTCATTTTACTTTAAATAAATAAAAAATAATAATCTTATGCATTCCTTTTACAATCATTCAAACAAGTCCAAGTATTATTTTTATAATGCATTTTTTTATATTGTATTCCTTTAACACACATTCTTTTTACAGGCAAGTAGGCAACCAAATAGCCACCAAGTAAATCATCTCGCCCTCCTTTAAAACAGTGTATTCGATGATAATTACTACAAGTTAGGATATATAAGCACTTTGTTCCTAGTTTAATTTAGAAGTGCGTAATCATTAATAAATAATGCGTTACAATATCGCGAATAAGTCATTTTGTTGATGCATCAACGATCACAATTTGTGAGTATTTGTTTCTTTAGGAAGGATCTAAGAAGGCTATTTAGTAATTGTGAGATAATACTTGATTCTCTGAATGCCAGTGAGAGTGAGTGATTTAGGATTTATTTGATGTAATTATTATATTGTTTGATTTTTTAAACTATTGCTATATATTCATTTGGCTTTTTACGACTTGTGTTTCGACAAGAGTAATAATTCTTTGTCTACAAATTTATTTTAGTATTAGTACTCCAAAGCAGCATGACAACAAATAAATATAGGATTTGTTCTTTTGTCTATTTATGCAAGTCAAATTCTAATAAAATAAACGAATTTTAAGTTGTAAGCTTTTGAAGCTTAAGATGTAAGTTGTGCTCAGCAATTGGTTAAAATGATACGTTTATGTAAGTTAATCAGGTTTCAGGTGTTTTATTATTCTTAACTTCAGCTTAACTTTAGGCTTAAGTCAGGAGTTGAGTTATCAAAGAATGAAAAATTTTTGTGACCCTTTCCTATAATTGTTGTCACAAACACATAATATATATCGTATAACATCAACATTAAACTTTTATTCCACTACATGGGTCGACTACATGAATCATTTGTCTCCATTGTGTTCAATTAAGAGCTGATCATTTAAATCTAATAAAAAAGTCATTTCTAAATTTTTTTGAACAAGTATTTTTAGGTCTACTTCTACCTTTCTTAACATAGGCTAAATCTAATGCATCTACTATTCCAACAGGGTTATCGGAAGGCCGATATTTTATGTGATCAAACCATATAAGACGACTCTCTAATATTACCTGCCACTAAAGCTACTCTAGCCTTTTCATGTATATACTCATTTTGCATTGTGTTTCTAAGAGTGAAGCCACTCATCCACTTGAGCATCATTATCTCTACAACACTTAATTTTATACTTCAATTTTAATGAATAAAATTCTGCACCATAAAGCATTGTTAGTTTCACCGCTATTTTATAGAATTTTTCCTTATGTTTGAGAGGTAATTTTCTATCACACAACATTTCCAGTGAACAGGGATTCAAAATTAAACAAATATGGACAGTAGGAAACCAAACTCATAATTATAGGGAATAGGACCTAACCTCTAAAACAAAACCTGTAATCTTGCAAAATAACAGAATTAATTGTGCAAGTGAAAATTAAATGGAAAGTGTAATAATATGTTTGTAATCAATAACACAAAACCTCAGTGAAATATCAAGGAGTCATTACATTGATTGGAATGTAAACATCAATAAACGAGTTCACTATACAAGCCGTGAGTTGTCTTCAAAGGATAGCAAAAGATTTGTAACATTCAACATAACTCATCTACAAGTAATAGTCAACAAAGATTGTCGCTTGCAGACAACAACGGAATGCAAGATGAGTGCAATGTATGCCATGATTTATTCATGAACAAAATGTAGAAGGTGCACAATTAATACAACAGCCTGCATATTTATTTTGCCCATGAGTGATGAAATTAAAATGGCATATCACATTCCCTTAGTCAAGTTATAGACAAGGGCCAAGGACTTGCAGTGAGTACCGGTTCTTATGAGTATATGTAGGAGACTTGTGGTATGCAGATTGATTCACCTAAGGGTACGAACACAAACTCATGACGCCCATGGAAACTCGCTTACAAGCAAGCTACAAGTAGCTTGTAGGGGATAGGCTCTCAGTGCACACAAATGATGAACAGTTAAATTAAAATAACTTGAAACATTCCAATCAAATTAATCTGCAAGCAAAAATTAAATGAAAAATATGGTATGAAGCCTCCTATATTCTTCAAGCCAAATAGAATGCAAATATCAACAAGTAGTGCTGTCAGGTTTGCTATGCATGATATAGATCACTTCTAATGATGATAAAAAATGTGCAATATGCATATGGCAAATGCTACGCCCACATGCAAGCAATGATAATAAGGAAGCTGCAATCATGGTGGTACCCTACGAACACATACAATGCAATATACAATGAAACTCAGCCAACAATCAACATCGACCTACAACAAAATACACTAACTCCTCTTGCAAGCGAAAGCGAAGAGTATGCAGAAAATGCAAGTTCCTACGAGGTACTACAAGAAGATCGTCATGCAGAAAGCAGCAAAATGAGTTGTAGTAACATTCACAAACAATATCAAATGATTCATCATGCTTACAGTAGCATACGTACGAGTAGAACTAGAAGATTTATATTCAGTGTCACTTGTCCGCAAACAACAATGAAAGGTTTGCAGTGTATGCAGTGGCCTTGCCTACAAATAACAACAGTAAACGTACTGCAAGTGTGCATTTCCTACAACCAAAAGCAATAAGCCCGTGAAAAATACAAGCATCCACAAGCAACTATAGGAGATTCATTAGTGCACGATAGTCTACCTGCATAAATTAACAAATGACCTGTAGCGCAGCGCCACACTACCAGATCCGCAACACTCGTACAAGCGGACAAAAGACATCTACAAGCTTCTAAATAGAATTGTGCACACTCAAATGCCAATTATTTGCGCAATTGATTAGTGTCAAACACTTTAAAATATCCCATCATTCATTTGCATATTGACACATTCATGATATACATACATTTGCAATATATATGGTGCATCATGCAAATACATCACCCGATGTGCGAAATGTACTACATTCTGGAGACACATTGCATCGGCAGCTAATGCTTCATGCACTACATAAAACACCGATTCAGTGTGAAAACAAATTATGTAAGTAAATAGGTGATGCATAAGTACATCTACAGACATTTTATATGACACTGTATCAAGTCATTCCGCAATATACAAAATATTAAGCAAACATGATTAAATAATGTATAGATGCAGAATGCACCATACATGCAAATATGTTGCATATATCCACTGCATTGCATACAAATCGCTGCCATACAAAAATATCATGCAAAATTATATACCTGCATGGGCCCCAATGAATGTGTTATAGATACACGTGAAATCTGAGAAAGCTTCATGGGTTAAGAAATGAACCTAAATTTGAGCTCGATCCTTCTATGTGAATAAATAGGAGTTGACACGACTCGAACTACCAAACAAATATACGGATTACATTGACCGGAATATTTATTTTATATATTCATATTACGTGTTCAAGGTCTATAACAAAGAAAATTCACTAATAAAGTTATAAATCCTACAATAAACTCAATCCTCTGTCGACAGATAGGCAGAGTCGACAACGTTCATTCAATGAAATGAAATCGCCCATAAGTATACCCGTGATGACCGTGTTGATAGAAAATTTCAACCGATTGGGACCATAAATATTCGAAAATGCCTCCCGAATGCCCATTAAAATCCAAAATTCTAAAATCACCAGAACTTGAAATATTTAAAATTAAAATAAACCACCAAAATACTTAAAGAAAAATTCATCCACCATCCGCAACAGTTTATCAAGATGGACAAATCTAAAAATTACTTCAGCTCACAAATAGCAAATGTCTAGTCGAGAATATTACTAGGATTTATTTTCAATATATCTCTTGATAGTAAGGACATAGCATGTGTCCTCTAACCAGTGGTTTCGCCGCCAAATAAAACCACAGGTAAACAATTATGTCTGGGACCCTATGACTGGGTGATTTTGCCGCTAAATGATACTATTAAATTACGATCATGGTAAGAGCCCGTTCCCCAACGACTTCATATCTTTGAGAAATGAATCAGTATGATATAATTGACAGGGCACAAAGCATCTGTTAGCTAAGGTGGATTTAAATTTGCTCACTTACACAAATATTCACCCAAGATCTACAAGGTACCCTTGGATGTAGTAAGCCATAACTATCGATAATGATCCTTTTGGCAGATTGGGTTGACTGCCTTCTCTACTAAGTAGACTTGGGAATAAGATGACCTGGGACGGCAGAACCATGGGATCTTGATCAGGTCTAACATCACTTCCCCCACCATCCGCTTTAAAAATGAGGTGGTGAATTTTCAATTTTAAATATCAAATTTTCGAAAACCAAAATCATGTTTTTTGCTATTATACATTGGATATTATGTATTTGTTTGATGACTAGCCTTAATCGAAAGTTCTCTCTCGTTATCGAGAGGGGTAATTAATTATAGAGACTTGTTCCTATAGGAAACCTGAACTCAGATCATAAAGTCCTTGCAAAATGAGGGCGAACTTTTTGGGTAGTGTCTTATTTGAAACCCAATATGCCTTCCAAAAATATGCCTTGGAATTTAAACATTAAAACTCTCCTCGACGACACGAAAAATGAAGAAAGAGGCCGTAGAGCAGCAGAGGTGCGAATTTTTGGAGCCCACAGAGCCCGTAAAATTTATCTAATATTTATGATTAGTTCATCAAGGATAATTTCAAATTTTTATTTTATTTTTCGGTTGCCCAAGAAATTTTTTCTTATCATGCTGTCATATGTCATATAAGAGAAATTATAAAAATAATTTCCTCCAGTCAAATCATAATTAAATATATACTTATGTGTTTATTTTTTTTAAATAAATTTGATCAATTTATAGAAGTACCGAAGACAACAACAACAACAACAACATCAAGCCTTTATCCCACTACGTGGGGTCGGCTACATGAATCCTTTTTCTCCATTGTGTCCTATTAAAAGTCAAATTCTCGTTTAAATCTAAAAAAGAAAGGTCATTACTAATACATATCTTTAATGATTTGAATATAAGCATTATTGACTCCTTTCTTTTCAAGAACTCTCCATAGCACTTCTCTTGGAACTTTATCATATGCTTTTTCTAAATCAATAAATATCATATGTAGATCCTCCTTATTTTCTCTATATTTCTCCATCAAACCTCTTAATAAATGTATGGCTTCCATAGTCGACCTACCCGGCATGAATCCAAATTGATTTTGAGAAACATTAGTATCACGTCGCAACCTATGCTCCATAACTCGCTCCCATAGTTTTAAAGTATGACACATTAACTTAATACCTCTATAATTCGCACAATCTTGTACATCTCCTTTATTCTTAAAAATAGGAATTAACACACTCATTCTCCACTCATCTGGCATCTTCTTAGTCTTCAAAATAGTATTAAAAAGTTTAGTAAGCCATGAAATTCCTTCATCTCCTAAGCATTTCCACACCTCTATTGGAATATCATCAGGTCCAACAGCTTTTCCACCCTTCATTTTCTTTAAAGCCTCTCTAACTTCAGTTTTACTAATACGCCGATAAAAATATAAATCTTTATTTTCATCTAGGGTGCTAAGGTCACTATAGTCAATCTTATTTTCACAATCTTCATTAAAAAGTTTAGCAAAATATCTCATCCATCTTTGTTGAATATCATCTTCTAAGAAAAGTATCTTTTGATCTTCATCTTTAATACACTTCACTTGAACTAAATCCTTACTACTCCTATCTCTTTGTTTGGCTAACTTATACATATATCTTTCTCCCTCTTTAGTATTTAATCTATTATATAAATCACTAAAAGCTAATGTCTTTGCTTCGCATATTGCTTTCTTAGCATCCTTACGAGGCACTTTATATATTTCCCAATTATCAGAATTTTTAAAATTAAACCAATTTTTATAACAAAGCTTCTTATTTTTAATTTTTTCTTGCACATTAGGATTCCACCACCAACTATTTTTACTATTAGGATTCCACCACCAACTATTTTTAATTTTTACATTAGAATTAACACACTATAGAAGTACCGAAGACATTTACAGTAATTTTGATTTTGACGTCGAAGACAGAAAAGTGAAAGTGTTTACTGTAAATTAGAAGACATCTGAAACAAAATTGCAATGCTTTGACTGAATGTTCATCAAAACATACGGTAACGCTCATGTTACAATAAGAAGTCCCTCTTAATTGAATTAGTCAGAAGCTTTTGATTACAAATTTCATCCATGTTCTAAGTGATAGATTATATCCTATAGTTAGAGAACAAAAAGTCACCCAAAATTACTTCTTTTTAAATTCAGTATGGCAATCCAAGAAGACCTTACCTTCCATAAACAAGTAGAAATACTACAAGACAACCAAATTGTTCAAGACAAGAAGTTGCAGACCTCTTCACCTTAAAATTCTTGGCATAAACCTAAGCACTAAAATAGATTTCTAGCTGAAGCAAAGAGGGAACAAAAAATAGCACACCAATTTATTACAGAACTAGCTGAAGTTTTTGACATAGAACTCACAAAACAAAAGATCGAAGGCATTTCGCTGAGAGGGTAAGGTGTTGAATGAAAGAGTATAATCGATACTTCAGTAGTTGGGTAGCTGCTACTAGCTAAATGCTACATTCTGGAAGCTCCAAGGCTGCTTCTGAGAACTCTTCTGAGCGTCTTTCCAGCTGGAGACTTAGGAATGGATTGAACAAAGGTCACCCTCCTAACTTTCTTATATGGAGCTACCTGCAATTAATCATCATATCACAACAAGGTGTGCATGAGGTTTAAGCAATGGAATAGATAATAATAATTATCTTGCTAGTAGGGAACTTCTAATTGTATTAGACTGCTGTAAATTGATTCTGAATTTTAACTTATGTTCTTCTGAAATTCTTGGTTCAAAAGCTTCTAATGATCTTCTCTGTAAATTTGCTTACTAATCCGAGCGGATTTTTTTAATTTTTCTTACTTAGGCTTCGTTTCTAGTGGCTTTCTTATTGCTTCTTAAAGCTGCTTTTTAGTACAAAAATTAAAAATTTTGTACTAAAAAGCTGCTTTAAGAAGCAGTAAAAAAGCTGTCCCAAACGAAACCTTAGTTTGCACTATTTCGTCAGCCTAAGAAAAATGAGAGACGGTAGCCCTATACTCCTCTGGGAAGATCAACTTCATGAATGTGACTACCAGGAAAACTCTCTAAACCGCCAAAGTTGGGTTTCTACAGTAATCAAGGAAGGATTTAAGCTTCATTTGGGACGGCTTTCTTCTTGCTTTCTAAAACAACTTTCTAGTATAAAAATTTCTTGAAAAACCATTTTAGAAAGCAGTACAAAAGTTACCCTAAACGAAGCCTTAATGTATTCATTTTGATTTATAATGGACTTGATAAGATTATATATGTCACAGCCCTTTCCCTCAATAGAAGCATAGCTCCACAAAAGCTTTTAACCCATTAGTGATAATCACTAGAATTTTTATATTTGTTAACTATTGAAAATGAGACTTCTATTAGAGACGCTAATCAGAGATTTAATTAGTTAATCATATGTAATTATATTAACTGTTTAGATGTATCCACTTAGTTTGTGACACGTGTAACTGGGCACCTAGTCTATGCACCTATATAATCTACTCCACTGTATCTGTAATGGATCATCCAATACAATCGATCTTCTTTCTCTTCTACTGTTCATCTTCTTGATCTCCGGTGGTCTCACCGTGAGAAACATCAGACTCTCTGTTTCTACAACTTCAGATCAATAGCAATGTTTAGAGTGTCTACTTGATCTTGAGATGGCCCATTGATACTTAAAAGAGCATAAGAGAAGAACTACGAATCATCAATTATGCAGCTATAACGGAATGCTATTTAAAGAATTGTTGAAGATGGGATCAAGAGAAGGTTGAAAATCACCTGCTTAGCTACAAACTCCATAATCTCATTTGAGGAAAGATTGCTTCCAGATTTTCGAACCACAAATGCAACTGGTATCTCCCCAGCTTCCTCATCAAATGCTCTGCACAGCGAACCAGTTTTAAGTATTGTAATACAATTTAGAATTGAAATAATGTTAATCTAAAGGTTATTATCAACCATATCAGCTCAGAACTTACGATGTCACCGCTGCATCGAGGATTTCATTGTGGGAGATCAATAAGGCTTCAAGATCAGCTGGAGCTACCTGCATGAATAACTCAATTACTGGCATTAAGAAGGCTAGTGGGTTACTGGGTTTACAGACTAAATTAAGCCCAGTTTTAGCTACTGTGTATTTAGTTTGATCAAATATGCATAAAATAAAAGAACATGTTGGTGTTTATTAGTACCTGAAATCCCTTGTATTTAATTGTATCCTTCAATCGATCCAAGATGAATAAATATCCATCTTGATCAAAATAGACAATATCTCCAGTCTTAAACCAGCCATCTTTGTCAATAACGGATGCAGTTTCTTTCTCATCATTCAAGTATCCTGTAAGAGCATTCACCTATAAAGTTAATGCACACCATTGATATCAAATTGTCTTATTCTCAACGTTAGCACTATAATTTAGGTAGAACTTCTTGGTCTCTAGCCTCCCCTCCTTTAAAAAAACGACCAAACATAAACTAATAATCTCTTGAATATAATTTATAAGCCGCAAGACTCTCCAACTTCCGCCATATAATTCATTTTATGAAAATTTTATGGATTTTATTATATAAACGTTTTCTTCAATCATGAGGAAGCGCATCATTTGTAGTCAATAATAAATATTAGTGGAATCATTTCAACTAGGTCAAGCTCCAAAAAAATTTTCTTTTTCGGACTTTCCATATAAAGAGTGATGTTTCTTACAACTTCTATTTTAATTGTGTAATGGATTTTTATATAATAGATAGAAGTTAATTACTCCATTTCTGTATACGATCATGAATATTCTGGAATGCTACAAAAGCAAGTGAATGTCAAGTTTCATCAAAGGTCCAATACCTACACTACACCAAAATGCCCTAACAATAATTGGCTTAAGATACATTTAGGTTACAATGTGAGGAAAACGCACAAGTGAATAAATTTTGTAACTACCAAATAACATCTAATTCGGAGTTTTTTTTTTTTTGGATTCCGAATTTGAAGTGTAATTAAAATTTGTCTTTGCTTATAGAGTTTAAAAAACAATCAATAAAAAATAATATATATTTGAATGATAAATTTTTTGTAGCTTTCTAAATTTGTCTTTAAAAAGATATTTAAAATTATGATTAAGATTTCATTTGGGATAATTTTTTAACTAATTTATGAAGTTGTTGTAGATAAAATAACTTTGCAAAGTTATAACAAAAAACAGCTCATTAGCGCAAAAAATACTTAAAAGCAACGAAAAATAATGACCAATAGACATTATAGTTGTTGTATGAAAAGGAAAGCCAGTTAACTTTTTTAACAATTTCTAAAGCAGTTTTTTAGCATAAAAAATTATAGTTCAAAAAATTTTTGTACTAAGAAGTTGATTTAAAAAGCACTAAGAAAGCTTTCCCAAAGGATTCGTTTGTGTCAGCTTTCTTAGCATTTTTTTAAGCAGCTTTTTTAATACAAAAAATTCTATAAATTTTTGTATTAAAAAACTGCTTCAGAAAACAATAAGAAAAATATCCCAAACGAACTCTAAGGCTTTGTTTAGAGAGTTCATTTGGGATGACTTCCTTACTGCTTCTTAAAGCAGCTTTTAGTAAAAAAATTAAAAATTTTATGCTATAAAGTTGATTTAAGAAGCAATAAAAGATCTTCACAAACAAAGCCTAAGTCTTCAATTTTTTTTTTAAGTTCCTTTCAATCTCTATCATAATTTCAAATATGCTTTTTAAAAAGCAACTTCTTGAAAATAAGATTTTAAAAAGTCACGTAAAATCTATCATCCAAATATATATTATTTTTATTAATTGTTTGTGCTAACGTAAAAACAGTTGAAAAGCTATCTCAAACGAAATCTAAAAAAAAAAAAAATTAAAAACAAAAATACAAAATATAAACGCCTCAATTAAGTCTAAATGTATTTTAAAAAACTTTTAATTATGGCCTAATTCAATTCTTAACCCATAAAATTAATATAAGCAACTAGAGACTTCAGCGTAGCGTACACTAATCAAGTTCATTCCATATGAACCAAATGCCTTACCTTTCATGACAGCAGGCCCACGCAGCCATAGCTCTCCACTTTTTCCAGGCGGCATAGAGATCCCCGTTTCCCAATTAACTACTTTGGCTTCCATGTTTGGAGCAAGAAGACCTACTGAGCTATATTTCTTACAGGTTTCAGTATTAAAACCACGAGCTCCTACTGCAGTAGACTCTGTCATACCATATCCCTGAACCATAAAAATTTTCAGGAACATATTGTAGGACGCATGGACAGAAGAACAAGACGATAAATTCGTTCAAAAGATGACTTAACAGCTGGTATAATTCACAAGGAGAAAATTACTGTGATGAACAAGCATGGGCTCATGCAAGCATTGATGAACTAGCATGGGCTCTTTTGGAGGAGAGATTAGTCTGTGCGGACACCGAATGCAGTTCATCGACCGGAGACTAACAAAATTGTGTCACGTCAGCGGTACCGAGCTCTACCGAGCTGGGTATCAAGCAGGGTGTGATGTGGCGCATTCTAATTGGCCTCCCAATTAGGTGAAATCTTTGAATTAGACCGGATCGTTCGTCGAAATAATTTCACCTTTTGGAGGGTTTGTTTATTGTCTCCTGTTTTATTTTCCTTTTATTTCTTAGATAGGATTTTTGGGTCACTAGTTTTATTTTGAATAATTATATTTTTTGGGCGGTACAGAGCACGTAGGTCTAGGGGTGTCAATTCGGGTCAGCGGTTCGGGTTCGGGTCGAACCCGGAACTGACCCGCCGGCACTGGTCAACCCGAACCCGACCCGATTCGGGTCCGGATAAACCCGATACGACACGAATGACCCGAAGTTGACCTAAAATTGCTAATTTTCGGGTCAAAATCGGGTCAATATTCGATTTTCGGGTCAAAATCAGGTTCGGGTCAGTCTCGGGTTTTCAGGTCAAATATGAGTTTTCGTGGCACTTTCGGGTCAATTTCGGGTTGCTGGGTCAACCCGAACCCGACCCGTTTCGGGTTCGGGTTGACCCGAACCCGGATTTTTCTGAGTCAGGTTCGGATCGTGTTTCGGGTCCGTGTCAAAAATTAAAGACTAATTTTTGGAAATGAGAGTTAAGCAATCATTTTTTAAAACTGAAAATGATAAATAAAATAAAATAAAATAAAAACTAGGGACCATTTTTATCTTCATAATAAAGTTAAGCAATCATTTTTTTTCCTGAACAGCTATATTCTACATTTTATTATCTTATCTTCTTACCATGGCACAAAACTTAATGATACAATCGTAGAGTATATGTAGACCAAATAGAAAATTGTATTGTTAAAATAAAATAAGTGAATCTAAAAAATATAATTCTTATAACGAAAATTTATTTTTGAAAAGAGTATTTTATTATAAACTATAAAATATTACACATAAAATAGGAATTATACATTTGATGTACGTTTAAATGTATATTATTTTATAATTTTTTGTAGTGGTCTAATTACTATGAAAATTTACTAATATACCAAAACAATAAATTGTAGATATTGATTTCAAAAGAAAATAAAGGATTATTTCATCGAAAGTATTCTTATTATACTTCAAATCAAATGTACAAATTTTAAAATTTATTATTTTTAGTTAGAAGAAATCTAATTAAATGGAATGTCGAATTTTAATTTATTTAAAATAACTTCTAATTTATTTTCAATATATTTTGAATTTTTCTAATTTAAAAGAATTTTTTTTGAGACATTTAGATCAATTAAGTAAAACTCACACATATATCAAATTTAAGATCTCTTAGTTGATTGTAAAATTCTCAACCACCAGATCAAAAATATGTATATATAATGTATTCAATTACAAAATTAAAAAAAAAAACTTATTATATTTTATTTTAGTTTTTTGGAACAAGTGTCCACCCGTTGACACACTCGAAAGGGAGCTTGACGGCGTGACTAATCCTCCACTGACCTAGAAGAGGCATCCACCCCTGAAACCTCCTAACCCACACTCAAGAGGCGTTGCAGCTCGAGGGGAATCGAGCACGGATTGAGCATTAATGAGGGATTCTCAACCATACTCGTCCACCAACCAAGCTAAGCAACGGTTGTTATATATTTATTTTTCACTTTATGCCTTTTAAATATACGCTGTTAAGTGTTTGTGGTTAGAAATTCCGCTATTTTTCTTAAGACCGCACGTAAATTTTTCGCTGAACCACAGAAAAGTATGCCTAAAACATGCACGTTGCAACAAAAGTAGACATGCGGTGGGACGAAGATCCGGACAAAAATTGAAAAGCCCACTGTGACGATTACCTGGATGAAATCAATATGAGGAAATCTCCTCAGGAACTCCTGTATCAGCCGATTGCTTAGAGGAGCTGCACCAGAAGAGGCTTGCTTCAAGGACCTCAGATCACAGCCATGAGCCTCATTGGCCCTTATGAAAGCAGCCATTAATGGCGGAACAACAGGAAAATGCGTTACTCTATACTTGGCTATAGTTTTAGCAGCTTCCAGCGCATTGAACCTCCTCATCACGACAACTGTCGAGCCCAGAGAAAGCAACCCAATGGAAAATAGAGAGAGACCGTACACGTGAAACATGGGGATGGCAGCAAGGTACACGTCCTTCCAACTCTTCTTCTTATACTGCGAAGCCTCGAACCGAACAAAGAGCTCGACCATGGCGATCAAGTTACTGTGACTTAAGACGACGCCTTTGCTTGATCCAGAGGTTCCTGAAGAGAAGAGTATCGCCGCCGTGTCGCTCTGCCGGATCACTGGCTTCCTAGTAAGCGGCGGGCTGCCGGAAACAACCTTGTGGAAAAGTGGGTAGTGAGCCGAATCATAGCTCAAGTCATTGGGAACGGTCACTATCGGAACACCAAATTGAGCAAAAGTGGCAACTTTCTCCGAGGAACAGAAGACAAGGGCTAGGTGGACGATGCTGCTCATTTGCTTCTGGATCTCTTTAGCGCTGCAAAGGGGATTCATGGTTGTTATGATTGCGCCAAGGGAGAGGACGCCGAGGAGGATGACAGGGAGGAGGACAGAATTTGGAAGAAGAATGAGTAATACTTGGCCAGGTAAGATTCCAATTTCATGGAGTCCTGAGGCCATGCGATCGACCATGGAACGGAGTTCTAGGTAAGAGATGGAAAATCCTGATGCAGAGTCGACGAGGGCTGTTTCACCTCCGTGAGGCCTGGAGAAGAGAAAGGAGGCCAGGTCATGAAATGCGTCTTGAGGAAGGGACCTTGGGGGGTGCCTGCTGCTGTAGATTCCAGTTTCTGTGGAGAACCAGTTTGGATCGGAGATGGAGAAACTTTGGCGGCCGGAGAGAGCTCCCTCCATGGGAGAGAAATAAAGTTGGCCTTCTTGTTTCTTTGGTGCTAACTGCAACTAATAATTTCTTGACTGGGCGGCGCGTAGTAGGAAGCAGTGTGTTTTTGGCAAGCATGCTATGAGAGAGAGAGAGAGAGAGAGAGTGAGGGAGAAGGTTTCTCCACTCTCTTCTGAGAGAGATCTGTTCCATTTGGACGATTTATAATAGGAAACGCCAATGAGAATGGGCTCTTCGATATCTATTATTTAAATATATATTTTTTAAATGGAGCAGTTTTGATTTAATTTTTTTACTATGATTTTATATTTTAAATATGTATATATTATATTTATGAATTTGTTGAAGTTTCCAACTAGCTTTTGCTTCGAGATTCGTGCCCAATCAAGCTAATTTTGTGATGACGTATCAATATATATCCTTAGAGAGCCGTTTATGATAAAACTCCTAACGACCTCAGGTTTGGTTTATTTTTTTGCTTTGGCCGAATCCACTGATAGACTTGAGAATTGAAGAGAAGAATTAACTTTTTATTATTTTATATTTTAAAAGTCAAATACAATTAAAATTTTTATTATTTGGTTTATTTTAAAAGCCAATTTCTCTCACATCTTAATGAAGATAATGTTTGGCTGAGAATTCTTACAGCTACTTCATAAAAATTTAGAGCACTTGATCCAAACATCCTCCACCACCCATATACATATTATAAGTTAAAAAGCTTAGGGAGTAAGTATATTTGTATAAGTATATACACATATTGACATTAAAAAGATAATCACAAGGTTGCATTTCTTTCATTATTATCAGTGCAATTAATTTTTCAAAGCTTTTTAAGATTTACGGAATAATCTGACTTCATTCATTGCAACTATGGGCTTAGACAAAATGTCTTTATTTCTAATTAATTCAACTCCGCCTTGGAAAATTTTTAGCTTTTTAGAATCATTCTCTCTATAACACTAGAAATAAGGATTGAAAAAATATGTTGCTGTATGGATGCCTTATATTAACTGAGTATCTCATCTTCTTTTTATTGTAGCATGCAGTAAAAGGCTTATATGATTGCTTTACATTTCTGAATATAGCTTTAATTACCTTCCGTGTCATATACATGCCATCATATAGATATCCAAGCGATAATTTTTTACATATGAGTCAACAATATGCAACAACTGAATCAAAAGGCTCGATATCTTTGAAATAATAATGCAATTATTCCAAAATCTGAAGTCCAAAATAATTGAAACTATTTCCTTTCCCTTGGAAGTTTTGGATATCTTCAAGTAGGGGTGTCAATTTCGAGTCACAGGTCAGGTTCGGGTCGAATCTGGAATTGACCATGTACTATTCGAGTCAACCAGAATTCGACCCGTGATTGTAAATTGTAAATGGGTTGAATTTTTGAACCTGAACTTGACTCGCTACAGGTTCGGGTCAACCCGACTTGACATGGATTTAGGGATTTTTTGATTTTTTGAGCTGTCGAATGGCCAAACTCCAGTTGCTTTATGAGCTGTCGAGCTTCTGTTGCTACTTCCGATAGGTAGCTCAGAAGCTATCGTCCCGAGCTCCCGTCGCTACTTTTGATAAGAAGCTCCCGTCGCTACTTCTGATAGGAAGCTACTTTCCTGAGCTCCTGTCCCTACTTCTGATACGGAGCTGCCGAGCTCCCGTCGCTACACCCCTACTTCGTCCAATAGTGAGATGACCGAACGGTGAGATAGTGACTGACAAGCCAACAGCTAACGTAGTCACGGATGCGACATGGCTGGCTTGGCGGACGTCAGATGCAACTGATGGACGTAGATGGCTGGCTTGGTGGGCGCGACTAACGGACACAACATCTCTTCAGTTGACAAATGCGACTGAGGCAGTGGGATAGACATAGACCGAGAAACAGCCGGGCTGCATCAAAACAGGACAATTTCTGGTTTCCGAGTCAACCCGGACCAAACTCATTTTTTCGAACGGGTTGAAATTTTTAACCCAAAAACGACTCATTTCAGTTTTGAGTTGAACCGAGCCCAAAATTTTTATGTTGGGTTCGAGTCGAGTTTTTGGGTCGTGTCAAATATTGACACCCCTATCTTCAAATAAATATAGAACTTGCTTATGATTAGTACTTGTAGGTCATGATGGTGCTCATGCACACTTTTCAAAGTTATAAAAGTTGTTGCAAAATGTGTTGCTCCATGACGTACAATCTCCTTCCAACTTGACATTTTCCTAAGCTATGCAAGTATGAATATATGATTATAATAAAAAATTATAAATTTTGATATTTTTTTTTTGTTATCTATGAGAGACATGCAGCCAATATCTTTCAAAATTAAATTCATATTATGTGCATCACAAGGTGATCATTTTTAGATATATATTGTTGAATCTTTCATATAATAGTTGATCACATGCATTCTTGTAATTAGCAGCATTATCAATAACTATTTGAACTACACTCTCTAGACCAACTCACTCAATCATCTCAGTAAATAAATGGCGCAAATTTGTAGCATCTTTTATGATGTATAAAGCATCAACTAATTTTTAAAATGATAAACCACATGGATAATATATCAAAAAATTGATTAAAATTCTGCTCTTACTATTAGTACATCCATATGTCATAAATGTATAAAATATTTTTTCCAAGTTTTTCTATAGCTATCAATGAGTAACTTGCATTCTTCCTTACAATTCCTAAATAGGTTTACTCTCATGTTGTGATAACTGGGGAGCTTGTAACCAGGATCTATTGCAACAATGACATCAATAGCTTTCCGTGCATATACTAAAATAAGAGCATTAATTAAATGGGATGCAGCAATAAAAACTACATTGTTAATGTCATATCTGCACAGTGCACTACTTCCTTAGATGCTAAAACACTCTTAATTAAAGGTTGAAGTTGAAGGTGGATACTTTCCAGATACTTATTCATTGTATCCATCGATGATCTACTTGCCTAGCTTTACTAAGGCTCTTACTTACATAACTCTCATCTTATCTTTGACTTAATTAATGGAACAATAACATTTAATCATTTATGACATACAATCTTATAAAATAATGGTAAATGAAATATTATGAATCAATCCATCATCAATTTAATATCCAACTAGCATGAGAGAATAAGAAAAAAGTCTTTTGGTTTTTAGGGAATATATAATTATCGAGTGGGTTTAATAATCCAAACCAAGCTAGATCAATCATTAGCCCTCATGCGAAATCCCCAATCCTAAACTTCCTTCTTCATGTCATTCACTTAATTGTTTCACTTCCTCTTATATGAGTACAAAAATTGTGTTGATTCTCCCACCTCTAGTTGCCTCAAATGTGATTGAAGGAACTTAAAATTCTAGGGGATCACCTACCCCCTTTGATGATGCCGAACTCCTTTTTTCTATATATATATATATATATATATATATATTAATTTGCAATGTTTTTACGTCAAAACCTATTGTAATTTATTTGCTTAACTTCTGGGAGTGGAGCATTAAAAATTTTATATCACTTGTTGCAATTTTTTTTCAACGGGTTTTTTTTTATTATTATTAAAAAAGAAAAGTTACAAAAGAAGACCCCCCAAAGGGCCACATCAGAAGCATTACAGGAAGCAGAGAAAAACCAAAGAGAAGACCAGAAGATTAGGGGTGAAATCAACGGACTAAGACCAGCTTCGGGTTGCCAGGGCGGGGCCATCCACTGGTGAAACACAAAATCGAAGGGCCAACCAACCCTGACCGTCCACAACGCTTGCAGCCTCGCTGCTTCCTCATCGTCCAAAACAAGCAATTAGCACGGTCAACCCTCCAAGCACAAGAGCAAACCAACGGTAGAACATCAACAACCCAAAACCACATTTAATGGCAATTAAAACAAAATCATCGCAGCACCCAATTAACATCGAACACGCCTGCCCCTCCCACGAGATCTACCACGAGAAGCAGCAAGAACCAGTGGTTTATCGCGCAATAAATTGAAAGAATTACCAGGATCTCCATCTCCAATAGATTCCACAGAATCTGAAAAAGAATCAGAAATAGATTCAGATTCAGAACTGTAATCATGAAGCCAGTCCAGGCCAGTGGACTCTAAGATCAATGTCCGAGTTATCCTTCATATTATACATTAATCCTTTAGGATCCATAAGAGTCACTAGGACATCCACTAAATCATTATGCACACAGTGTTCATTACGAATGGGACTAGAGTTACCAGAGACAGCCACTTTACACACTGCCTCATCCAAATTATCCACGACAGCAGATTTAATCGAGCCAACCAACTCCTCAGAATTTAAAGACTGACCAACCAAAACATAAGGGGCAGACCTCACAGACCCCAAAGGAGCCTCACGAGGAAGGCCCTCAACGCTATGACAAACACGAGTGAAAGTCAAAATCTTACCAGTAGGAGTAAAAGGTTGAGCGTCGGGAGATAGAATAGAAGCAACCTCAACACCATTAGCATCTCCAACCACCTCAGTTTCCGTAGCAATGTCCACAGTTTCTAAACCGACCAAAATAGGGGAATCACAAACATGCACCACAACACCAGTATTAGCAATATCACTACCCAAAACCACACCCGGCCGCAAATGAGGGAATAACTTAATACATTCCGACTTCTTATGACCCAAAACTTTACAAATGCTGACAGAAATTAGGCATTCCTTCAAAAACGACTCTTTGAACGTACCCAAGTTTTTCCGGACCCAGCCAAACAGATTCAGGGTAAGTTTTGGAAATGTCAATTTCTACAAGAATACGAGCGACTGAAGGACGCGAACCAATAACCGTGGCATTATCGGTGTGAATCGGACGGCCAAAAATAGACCCCAACCCAAAAAGAATTCGAGGAGAAAACAGGTGAGGACGAAGCCCCGAAAATGAAATCTAGACATGGACAATCGGCGACTCCTCCGAAAGGTCAAGGAGAGGCGACCACTTAATCACTTTCATGAAGCAACCAAAAACGAAATAGGAACGATGCACAAAAACCCTCCCATAGTCTAGGTCATTCGAAAGCTTGATCAATACATTAGACTGGTCCAATAAAGTTATAGAGAAATCACCGGATAATTTTAGGTTGAAAAAGAACCTACGTATCGAATCCAAAGCTAGCCGCTTAAGCGGAAATTTCCCCACCAAAGCAAACTCAAAATGTTTCGCAAGATGCAAAAATTCATCCTCTGAAAACCCCAAAGCCGGCATACCTCGAATCGTAGACACACGAAAATCTGGAAAATTTTTTGAAACATCAGAACCTGACAACACCTCTTTGAAGGATTTGGAATGCTTACCCTCAAAAAAGCCAGGATCTGACCTTTTAATCGCCATGAGAACGAGAGAGCCAGAGGCGGAGACGAAGGCGGCTAAGGCAAAAGCCCTAGCAAAGCAGAAAAACCCCTAGCATACGACGCATAGGGAAAAGGTGGAAAAAAAAACAACTCCTCATTAATTGACATTTCCATTTATATTTATGCCATTGTTCACATTGTTTCTCAAAAACAATAATTAATTCATTATGTCATAATATGCAGAAATCATTCTCCTACATCATAATAGATGAATAGTCTCGTGAGATAACTTGTTTCATAAGATAATGCAAAAATCTAAAAATCCAAACATCCAAAGTACAATCCACAGATGATTTGTCTCATAAGATAATGAAAAAAATCCAAAAATTCATAAGATAATACAAAAATCCAAAAACAATCCACATGCATTGCATCAGGAAAATGAAAATTTAAAAATATTCATACAATAAAACTATAAAGATTAAAGACTACATTCATGTATCTGACTTTTGAAGAAAAAAATCATTTTTAAACAAAACCAGAACGACCGGCTTCGCGAATGAGTAGATGATTTTGCTTCTCGAACTAGAAGAGACGTCGGAGACGGAGAAGAAGATACCGAAGATGGGAAGAAATATGTCGAACTGCCGAAGAGCATATGTTGATACACGAGGGCTGACATTAACTGCGATACGAACAAATGAGATATGATTTTTTTAAACTACGCATAACCTCCGCACTCTGCAGATCGCTTAATCTCAGCCTTCCGATAATTACTGTAGCGAACCATCCGATTATATGAAATCGGGATCAGTTCAGAGGTCGAACAGCCGGTTCGAAAGGTTCAATACCAAATTTTTGTGAAACTGGTTATAATTTGAACCGTAACCGGCCAGCCACCAGTTGATCCATCCGGTATTAAAAGCCTTGATATTAGCATTACATTTAGAATGTTGGAAACAATTATTTATTGTTCTGTTAAGTTGTTGGACAAACCCAGCGGTCCATACTTCAATGATTGAAAAAGTGCGATTTACTTTTAAGAACTCTATTTTCAAATCATTGTCTTCTGATTATAGTCTCCTAACTATTATTCCTTTAACTGTCAACGGCTACTATTGCCAACAACATCAAAGCACGCCTTCTCTTAAAAAGGCCAGTAGATATTCAAACTAAATGTCGATGCTCGTCGTCGCTACTAATATTAATGCATGTTATTACCAATAAGACCAATGCACAATATCGACACCCTTCGACTCCAGAAATCAATACCAAGATTTATATTGACATTCTTGACCTATGATCTCTTCTCCTCAAAACAGAACGATCAAATGTATCATAAATTGATATTATGAAGACAACTCTAATGCATCAAAGCTTCTTCTACTTCTACCATTAAATTCATCCACAATAATTCATGTCTATTATATTATATTAACACGCTCTCTAATTTCAAGAAAAAAGTTAGGTGGCACAAGTATTTGTTGAGATTTTGACTTAAAAAAAAAAAAGAATAAAGAAAGAAATGGTAAAAAAGCAGGCGAACGTGTAAAACGTGGTGCATGTTAGAAGAAAAAAAAAAGGAAATCTGCCATGAAGTTCTGTCCATGGTCTATAAATGAGCCGTTTAGGGTTTGCATGGCTTGGTTTCATAGAGGACTATCAAATTCCCGGAATTCAACGCACAGTTAATAGCAGCATTTATACTTGTTTTTTAATTCAGAAGGTTAAAAGTTAAAACCGCTTATATATTTTTGCAATGGTTGTTGTGGTCAAAGTTGTAATTATATTTGGTATAACAATGGTTAAGCTTTGCTCAAATAAAGGAGAAATTATTCTCTGTGTATTCCAATAAGTTTGGAGGTAAATCACAGTGCGCTATGTCACTTATTACACAGTGCTGCTGAGCATCGGTACCTAACAAATGAGTGACGTGAAGTATTGTGATTCGCCTTTGAACAGCGTCCGAAATCTGCACAGAATAATTAATCATAATAAAGACTACAAAAGCTTAGGTGAGTGCCAGAATTTGAATTTGACCCATTATGATTATAATATTTTTTTTTCAACTTGTGAATCATGCGTTGCAGCAATATCAACATCCTTCAATATCACCATTTTCTGTGCTGAGAATGAGAACCATTAGTATCCAACCACACAATAAAAATTAGCCAACCAACGCATACAAATCCTGAGCTATATAATGTGTTTGATATTATATGCATATATAATACAAATATTGCTCAATGTAATCGTTTAGTAAAAAGGAAATAAAATGAAATAGTTTCACTTACAAAAAAACGTCATTTTAATTATTTCTTTATTAGGTTTATATGTGAATTTAACTTTTAATATAAAAAAATGAAAAAAAAAATAAAGATTCATATAGCCGATCCCACGTAATGCGATAAAGGCTTAATGTTGTAGTTGTTCACTTTATACACAAAGGCATGTAGGCCAGCGTGCTCATATTGAAGAGGACGAGAAAATATGTGAAGTCTAACAGCTTTGACTATCAACCAAGAGTTACTCATGTGATGTATGTGTGACTTTACTTCAATTGGCTAAAATGTTTCATATTATATATATATATATATATATATATACCAATATTATAATTTAAAAAAATGATAAAAAAAAATGAAAAATGATAAAAAAATCTTATAATTTATAACACACAATCTCCATATTCTTAAAAATTAAATTATTATTTTATTACCACTATAATCAAATATTTCATACCCATATCTAATTCTATTTAGTTCTCTATTTTTTGAAATAGTCACAGTAGAATTTTTTTTTTTCAATTTATATTACATGTATTGATTTTATAATAAATTCTAAATTTTTTAATCTATGATGATAAAATTTTAATTATTATATTTAAGTCTAATTTATTTCATCATAAAAATTGGAAGTATAATAGGATGAATAAAAGAATAAAAAACATAAAGTAAGATTCTATTTTAATAAAAAATAACGTAATTAAAATTTTATTTTTAAGAGGGCTCCCATAGTCCCCCCTTAACTCTGCCCATACCTAAGCATAAGATAATCTTAAACATTTTTTTTATTGGTTGGATTTATTTTAAGATAAATGAGCAATAAGTTTTAATCTATATCTCATGTTGTACACTTATTTTGGCGTAAATTCAATGATTTTGAGATCTATTTTGATCAAAATTTGCATAGGATTTTTCATTTTAAGGAAGAAAAATACTTTATTGAATTTTAGAAAAGTTGGAAAAATATAGGTTTGGTGGGACAATATAAGATGAGAAACGCTTCAAGAATATGCCTTCACCCAAATAAGGATATAAGCGAACCGAGCTAGAGCGAGCTTGTTGTATGTTCTTATTCATCTCGTTCAATATGTAAAAGTAATTGATCTAATGTTCTAATGTACACTATGTAAAATTTTATTTTATTGTACTAAAAAATAGTCGAAACGATGAAAACAAAGATCTTATTTGCCAATCTATCAGTGTAGGCCTAACAAACTCTTGTTCAAACCTCGGTTTGAACCGGGTTTGAATCACATTCGAATCATGTCTAAATTTGGACTAATTCAAATCAAAATTTTATTTTGTAGTGGACTTCGATGAGCAATCAACAAATAGATTGCCTTTTTATTCTGAGAAACTGTTTTTGAGAATCAAAATTGCTGGTGGCAATTGCAAGAAAATTGCCAACGGATTGTTTCAACAACAACAAAGATCTCATAAATATTTTACAACTTTTATATGAAGTAACAAACGCCCCAAACAAACCCTAAAGTGAGGTATAATTATATTAAGGTTTTGTTTGGGACTGAAAAAAAAAATTCTTGTTTGAGATAACTTTTTTATTTTTTTTCTAAAGTAGTATTTTAATACAAAAAATATTTATTTTCTAAAAATTTTTATATTCAAAACCTACTTTAGAAAGCAATAAAAAAGCTATCTCAAATGAAGCCTTAATTTAATTTAATGATGAAATTTGAATTTTCTTCACCAATGGAAGATAAGATTAGAGAGAATCGTCTTAGATGATTTGGTCACATAAAACGACAGTCTTGCGATTACCTGGTTTTAAAAAAATAGAAGTAATATATTTGACTTATGTTAACAAAGGCAGAGATAGACCTAAAAAGACTTGGTTAGAAAATATTAGAAATGATTTTTCTTTATTAGATTTAAATGAGAATTTAACTTTTAATGAGATAATAGATAAAAAGGATTAATGTAGTGGGATAAAGGGTTGATGTTGTTGTTGTTGGTGAAATTTGAATTTTAATATTATATAAGGTTAAAAGGCAATAAAAAAATCAATCTGAAATTGTAACCTCTAGAACTAGTCTCTTGGCCATATCAAACAAAACTGGGCCTATATAGAAGAAGCAAATTGACTCTAAACTTTGAAGATCTATTGAGATGGTTCAGTTAGTCAGTATTCACAATTAGATAAAGCTAGAAAGAATATATTAAAAATTAAGATTTTGTTTGGGATAACTTTCTTTCTGCTTTTTAAAGTAGCTTTTTAGTATAAAAATTTTAATTTTGAACTAAAAAGTTGCTTTAAAAAACAGTAAAACAGCAATCCCAAACGAAGCCTAAATCAAACACAAGACCTGTGCTTTTCTAGCCAGCATTGCTATGAAGCAATTGGCTGGATTATATATCATGGTGATACACATAATGAGGTGGCGAATAATCATCATCATCATCATATTGATAGCGAGGTAATGAATCGAGATCGTATCGATGATGAGGAAATGAAGCATGATCGTATCGATGGCGAGGCGATGAAGCATGATCAAAGACATAATGAGGAGAAGGTGTGGAAACGGGTTCAGTAATTTGGGGTGAACTAATGTTGGCTTGGTTCCTGTCAGCTCTGATATCTCCCAGTTCCACATCCTCTAACATTTGGAATATGGGATGAAGATATGCATCTGCTAGATAGGCCTTCAGATTGAGGTTGGGTTCAGAGGCTTTCTCCATTGTATCCTTCTCCATTGCCTCCTGAAATTTACAGACTAAATTCCATAAGCCAAATCATAATTATTGAGGAATAAATCTTCTCTGAAGAAACAAATCAGATTACACATTTTCTCCGATTGCTTGTGCTTAGAAGATTTTACAAAAGTAAATTCTACTAGATATAGGCGTGTCAAACCCGAAAATCCAACTTGAACCCGACCCAAAAATTTCGGATTAGGGTCAACCCAAACCTGAAACGGGTCGGGTTCAACAATTCGACATGTTTCAAAAATCGGGTCGGGTTCGAGTTGATACTTTGACCCAAAATTGACCCGTTTTTTGACCCGGCAACCCGAGATTGCCCCGTTTTGAACCATTTTTTACCCAAAAAAGCAGAGATTTACCTGTTTTTGGACCCGAAAACTAGCAATTTTTTGTTGGCACCGGGTCATTCAGGGCGTGTCGGGTTGACCCCAACCCATCGGGTCCGAAAAACCAACCCGTTTGCAAAAACTGGTCGGGTTCGGGTTAACCCGAATAGTGTCGTGTCAATTTCGGATTCGACCCGAACCTGACCCGTGACCTGAAATTGACACCCCTAACTAGATATAAATTTCTTCGGTTTTGCATTTTTTTGAGTTACATGACCTGAAAAACAGTACCCATCAGAAAAGAAAAGCTTCCCAGTCCCAGGAAATCACCTTAGCACTGTACTAGTAAATTATGAATCAATCCAAAATGTTTCAAGCAAGAGAACAAACCTCGAGAGGATATTTTCTAAAGGCGGGTTCGAATCGGCTTTTGCAGTACTTGTGAAACCAAATAGTTAGCACAGGTAGAATAATGAGAAAAGGGGTGGAGTGCGCAGCTTTCTTTGTGCTCAGTAAACCAAGAAGTAGTAGCTGGGAGATCAACAAGCTTGCAACAATTCGGGTGTGCACATGAGGCCAAAATGCACCAGCACTTTCATATTCTTGGTTGTAAACGTTGATAATCTGAGATGGCAAATTACTTAGTGTCAGATTCCTTTAAAATAGCAAAACAAGTAAAAGCAGTAACTCTTGCGCAAGAGATTTAGGTTTCATTTGGGACGACTTTTTTATTGCTTCTTAAAACAGTTTTAGCATAAAATTTAAAATTTTTATATTAAAAAGTTATTTTAAAAAGCATTAAAAAAGCCGTCTCAAATGAAGTCTTAATTAAAAAACATGGGACGAAGCATTAAGAAGACCCCATATAAGACGATCTGATAAGAAGAGCGATCTAGAAGACGATGACAAAAATCAAACTGAAATAGGGATAAAGACCAACATGAGTTAACAGGAGTTAGGATGAGAGAGAACTTTACATTCACTTTGGTAAAAAGTATATGAACCAAGATTTTGTGCATAAGATCCTTTGGTGTTTTCCAAGAAGAAATAGGATCCATAGGTAACAACAATATCCGAGTCAAAAGATTTATCTACATACTCTCTTGATCAACTTTTGTGCTCTTTGATAGCAAATGAATATAACATAGTGGCAAGAGAGAATGAAAAGCCAACAAAAAAAGGAGAAACCACAAAAAGCTATGGTTTAGAATAGCCTAAATGTTGCCTCAATTACAGGAACATTCGGTCAGAGTGCTTGCCAAAGTGGATTTTGCTTTACTTCAATATCTATAGCCTTAACATATAAATGAAGCACAAGTAATCATGACAAATCATCTAAATATAAAACAAAATAAAGAATGTTAGTAGGTTGCTAACCTGATATCTATAAACAAGGAAAGCGAAGATGAAGAATACAAGAACAAACGGGAGAAGAATTGGAGTAACCACAGCATAAACGAGTCCAAGAAGAAAATAAAGTTGTAGAGTGGGAAGATTCTCAGAAAGACCAATGCTGCCAGGATCCATTGCCTTTTCTCTATCCCTATCTGTTTTGACAATGAACATATTTTTCAAATGATATATCACAAGCGGCTTCAATCGAAGAATCTCAACAGCAACGCCTGCCCACCCGTCAACCATTATGTATGTCATAAAGAACGTGGCTTTCATTGGTATGGATACCCCAATTGTCCTTGGAATCCTGTTACCAATTAGATTCAAACAAAAAAGGATTAATGAACAAGAAATTAAATGGTAAGATCATATCTAGGAGTGTATAATACCACAATTCTGACAATTCAAATATATCTTGATGTCCATATATAAAGATTAACGAAGTACAGAACCAAATTTAGACATTTGCCCTAATCTAAATAAGCATAAGTTATAGAACATGGAACATCTGTGATAGATGTGCTCGAATATGGACGTGCATTAACACAAGCTTATTAAAACCTAAGAAAACCGATAGCATGAATTGATAAGAAATCAATTATGTTATAAATTTTCACACAAAAAACACTTGCTCCTGACATAGACATGATTCATCGTCTAGCCATTACCATGTAAACAAAGTTCTAATGTGATGAAAGGGAACTGGTTTCATGCAATTTTACCACTGTTAATGTGATATGTGATATGCAACACAAATCCAAGTCTACAACACAAATGAGAATCCCCAAATAAGCATATGGATTTCAAAGATCAGTGGCAACATATTTCAAGTTCTTTTTAATTTCCAACATTTGCAGTGCAAAAAAATATTCCGAGCAGCAACTCTAAATGTACATAAATATAAAACTGACATCCAATTAACTTCATTTCCAACACGAGCATCCAAATCTCAAAAGCAAAATTAAATCTCAACAAAATAGTCGTGGGCTGGATGTTAGTTTGTAAATATTAAATATTCTGCCATGTGCAATTTTCCTTTTTTTTATATCATGGGTACGAAACAACATTAGAAAGTCAATTACCCTTTGGGGGAGGATAAGCATTAGAACGATAATAAAATAATAGGCATTATCATGGAAAGTGGGAGGAAGAATTACTCAGTTGGCGACTGATGAAGAAAAGAATACAGTTGTTCAAAAGCAGTTCCAGCTATAATGCTTCCAAGAAATACATTCACCAACATAAAATAATAATATTTAGCGGCTGCCCTTCTTTCAAGTGCTGAAAGCGACAAATAACCTTCCACTTTTGACATTATCATCAGAACAGTTGGGAGGATGTATAGAAAGATTTTCAAAGCTAAACCAGGCAGAAAGCCTTGCAAGAAAGATTTGATCAACTTTCTGCATTCAAATCAAAGTACTGCATTTGACAATGTCATAAAGTAAAAAAATAAAATAAAATTGATAATTTTGTAAACGATTAAACAGTGATACACAATAAAGTATTAGCATATATGATCAAAAAGACATCATGCATTTTACAGTAATCTAAACACATGCATAAACATCAAAGGAAACGATCATGCTTTTCAAATAATTTTGCTATCCTGCATATCTGACGCACTTTAAAGTGAACACATATCAATAAGGCCAAACAAACTATAACTGAAACATTGAGAATGGCAAGTATCAGAATCTTTCTTCTCAGTATTATCTTCGTATTCTCCAAATAATAGAAGGCATGATTTAAACTCATCCGCTAAAATGATAATGTGTTATCAATTAAGAAATTTAGTTAGCTCATCTGCAATGTTGTTGACAATGACTAGTTAAATATAAATTAAAATTGTCAAGAAAGCCTTATTTTTTAAAACATTTAAACCTGATTAAAAAATAATCCAGTTACTTGCAAGTTAATAAAATAATCAGCAATAATTTAATTGAAATAGTTGAGTTAGCCAGACTAGATTGTTTAACTACAAATAGAACACATACACTACCTTTTGTTCATTTAAGCATGATAAAAAAAAAAACTAATAACAATTTACAAATTAGGTACTGCTTAACTATTAATGTGCTTTGTACTCTTCTTCAGAGTACCTATTACATGGCCATGAAACTTCTGAATTATTTGCACACCATTTTTAGTAGCACGACCAAAAATAGTATTATAGTCACATCCTTAATGTTTATTTATTTGATACGTAAGAGAAAACTAGTATTCTCCTAGAAATAGTTATAGATGAAAAATGAAGGATAGGCAGGCACTTTACAAGATCATAGAAAATATAAATATTTTACATAGGCGATTTGTCCTCCTATATATATGGCCACATGGATTACATTAAATTTTTTAGATTTATAATTACTGGAGAAGACACCCTTTAAATAGTAGATGAGGGCAATTACAAAAACAAACCCCACCGCCCCGCGCATCTTTTTATCTAATTAGTAATTGAGAGAAACACTTACAATTCTATGACTGGCCTAAGAAAAGGAGCAACTTTTTCAAGACCTTCCAGATTTGCAAGGGATTGTACAAAAGTAATGGGAATCATGTAAAAGAACACCAGAGAAAATACTGATATTGAGATTATCAGCCTTCGAATGCTGAGGGAAACAAATGGTATTGATAGATTCTTCCAGTAAACATCACGTGGTTCAGGTGCCCATTCAGTTAACCAAAGTGTAGGATTCTTGCTTTGCTGTGTCTGTGCACACACTGCTGCTCCCCATCTAGAGCCGAACGTGACAAAAGCAACTGGTAGAATAGCCTTGGGATCTTTAATAATTTTCTGATGCTCTGATGCTATCTGTAAAAATTACATTGATAATTACACGAAAAAATATCACGGTAAATAATTAATATGTAATACAAACTTCACATTACGATAGGATTTTATTTTGATGGCAAGGTATGATCATAACGTCAAGCCAAATAAAACTTTTTTCAGAAACAAGCAGTCTGGTTGCATTATTCGATTGGACTATCATCATTATAATGATTAGCCTTATTCAAACAATTTGGGCCAACTTAACTAAGTGTCTCAACCAAATGTCAAATGATTTGACGAACAACATAACAAGGATTTTGCATAAATTGAAATGTTAAACTGCAAATTTATATACGGTTGAGTAATTGTCTAATAATATAAGCCAACTATCAATTGTTTGAATGTATATAAAGGGATAAAAAAATAAGATCACTTTTCTCACTATGATACTACGTGTTTAACTCAAACACAGTGCCACAATGGAGAGGTATTTTGGAGACAAGTCAATGTAATCAGATTCTGTGCATATGTTAGTTTAAGAATATACCAAAGACATTAGAGTAAACCTCCAAACCTTAGAAGTAAGACAACCAATATTTCATATGAAATGCGGTGTGAAGTTATTTTAGATGATCAATTAAATAGTGACAATGTCATTAACATAAGAAGAATAACAATCCCATTAAGATTCTTATAGAGAAATAATGATGACCCAGATGGGGTATGTTTAAAAGAAACATTAAATAAGGTTATTCAAAATTTATCAAATCATGCATGAGGAACCTATTTCAATCTATATAGGAAATGCATCAATTTGCATACTTATGTAGAAGAAAATGACGGAACATTAGGTGGGAAAACCATGTAGATTTCTTCTTTGAGATCACCGTAAAGAAGGCACATGTAATATACATTTGATAAAGTGGCCATCATTGTGAATTGCCAACAGAGATAATAATTTGAAGTATGGTTGTTTTGCAATACGGAAAAAGTTGCTTCATAATCAATTTTATATTCTTGCATGTTACAAAGGATAATCAACTGTGAATCATAGCAATTCCGGATATCATCAGAGAAAAATTTAATTTTAAGAGCAAATTAAATAATCTCACAAGTATGATTATCCATAAGAGCCCAAAGTTCGTCAGCTATAGCCTCTTTCCAACAATCATTTTTACTAGTTTTGAAGTAGTTTGAAGGAATCGGAATTGAGAGAAATGAGCTGTAAAACCTAAATCAATTTAGAGGATGACATATTTTAGAAAATCATCTGAGAGTAGTGATTGAATCATAGCTAGCAAGCTCAAGTAATGGATCAATTTGCACAGGCTCAGGTGGCGGTTTGATTTGCATAGGTCAAGGTGGCGGATTATTTTTTGTAGGTTCAAAGGGCAGATTTGGTCAAGGAGGTAATAGAGTTGGACAATTATTTTTAACACAAATCCACATCTGAATATTCCATGATTAGAATTTGTTTATCAAAATTATGAAAAAAATAGATTTCTAGCAAAGGCTAAAAAATAGTAGAGAAGAAGAATGACGTTCAAACAATACAACATGATGAGATATTCGAAATCTTTTTGATCCTGGATCCATAGAACATAGCCTTTGTGAGAAGTGTTGTAGTCCATAAATGCTCATTTAATAAATTGAGTGAAAATTTTATGATGTTCATTTGATGGAAGATTTACCAAACAAACACCACAAAATGTGTGCAATTCACTGTAGTTGGTTTGCTTTTAAAAATGATGATGAAAAGGAGAGCCAAACTCTAAGATATGAGGGGGTAATCTATTAATTAGATAAATCGCAAGCTCAATATTTTAAGATAGAATTTGGGTGAAACCATAGTTTAAAATTGCGCCTCACTCTGCGCAATTTGGATCAAAAACGCCTTGAGGCCTAAGCAATTTTGGCTTTGGTTGAGGCGTACGCCTCAAGCAGAGTGAGGCGCACCTCAATTGCGCTATTGCGCAATTTTGCTTGAGGCGTGCGCCTCAAAGATTGGGTCCCACTCACTTTAAGCAAATATGAAAATGCCTCTCCCTTCTACCGGTCCAAGCCAAACTGCAAGCATCCCGATCCTGCAACCTGCTGTTCCCGATCCCGCAAAAAGCTCCAGGCCCGATCTCCCGCACGTCTCCGGCGCTTCTCCTGCCGGCGCCGCAGCTCGCCGGTGAGCCCTTTATTTCTGGCCGCCCCTCTACATCATTTCTTGATTAGTTCTTAGAGTTTTTTTAAAGTTTAGGGTATGATTTTTCAACTTCAAGGAAAGATAGGGTTTCAAATTTTTTGAGTGTTTTTGTTTTAATTTGCTTTTTTCCTTTAGGAAATATGGTTAAGGGTAAGGAAAAGTCTAATACGTCATTACGGAGGGACCATTCTTGGAAATACAGTGTACAAGCTGACATAGGTGGCGGTGAGAAGACTTATGTGTATTTGAAATGCAATTTTTGCGAGAAAGTGGTGAAGGGCGGAATAACCCGCATGAAGGAACACTTATCATGCTCTCATAAAAACGTAGCACCGTGTGCAAATGTGTCAGACAAGGTGAAGGATGAAATTATTGCTTACATGAAGAAAAGTACCACGACAAAACACTTACAACATGAGTAATTTAATGAAAGGGTCGAACATAATGCTTACTTCAAGAGCGAGAGTGGAAAGGGCTCTTCCTCCACTATACATAATAGAGGTGCACGGGGTCCGATGGACTATTATATGACTAATCCTCTCCGACTAATCCAGGATCGGATAGAGGACAAGCACAGATGATGCCTGCGGCTGGTACCAGAGAGGGTCGATGCCAGGTTTGCATGGATATTAGCAGATTTTTTTTTTAGAATATCATACCATTTAATGTTACGACATCGCCGGCCTACTTCAATATGCTGCGGTATGTAGGGTTGTATGGGAGAGGGTTGAAGGCACCTTCCATGTACGAGTTGCGAATATGGATTTTGAAGGAGTTGCAGAACATAGAGCAGAGCATTGATGAGATTAAACAAACATGGATTGAGACCGGTGTTATCATTATGTTAGATGGATGGTCTGACATGAAGAGCAGGAGCTTGATTAACATCCTTGTCAACAATCCTTACAGCATGGTATTTTTACAATCAGTTGAAGCTTCAGATGAGGTTAAAAATGATGCATTCATTTTCAATTTACTAGATGGGTTTTTTGAGGAGATTGGGGAGCAATTGGTTGTTCAGGTGGTGGACTGACAATGCCAGTGCATATAAAGTAGCTGGTCAGATGTTGATGGAGAAGAGGAAACACCTATATTGGACCCCCTACATAGCACATTGTATCGATCTCATATTGGAGGAACTTGGTGATTTACCTCAACATAAGAGCGCTCTTTTTAGGGCGAAGAAGATCACAAAGTTCATCTATAGTCTTAGCCTTGATGAGAAAGTTTTCAAAGAAGGAAATCATTCACCCTGCAACCACTAGTTTCGTTATTACATTTATGCACTGCAAATCATTTTCAATTCCTAATGCAAGTTTATTCTATAGGTTTGTCGCATCTTATTTGACACTGCAGAGCCTGTTGGATGTGAGACAACCTCTTGAAGCAATGTTTACATCAATATAATGACTTAACTCTGTGTGGGGGAAGGAAACTGAGGGGAAGGAAATACGAAAGCTAATTCTAAATGATAAATTTTGTGCTATTGTGACCTATGTCATATTGAGCACGAGACCCTTGGTGCAAGTTCTATGTTTAGTGGATGCCGAGAAGAAACCAACAATGGATTTTATTTATAATGTTATGGATGAGGCGAAGGAGTTGATTGCACATAACTTGGGAGGAGAGGAGGCAAGAGAAGAAATCGGCTTTCAACACTCATAATGAACTCCCTTGTGTATATTATGCACAACAAGAGGTTGAGAGATAGGAGGTTGAGGAACAAGGTGTTGAAGGATGATGAGGACCCGTTGGTGTGTGATGATGTGTCATCTGATATTGAGTGGTTCATAGATGAGAGACAGATTTGTCATTATCAGACCTGCAGCTAGAGGATCTAAGTGTGGATGTCTTGAGGGGCGAAGCAGATTAAGTGGGTACATCCACTAGTTCTGCAGCACAACAATCAAATAAAAATATTCCACAACTTCTTATATGTTATTGCATTATATTTATATCAAGGGAACAATTAAAATGACAATGATCATTCTTATTGAACAGGGAAGAGAAAAGTGAGTCACATTGAAGATGATGAAGATATGACATTCATAGATACAATTGGAGAAGAAGATTCCCTTGAAGAGTCATTTAGTGATGGGATATGATTGTATTCAAAATGTTCTTTCTTAATTGTACTTTAGGAGTTTTGATAGACTAATATTTTGTGATTTTGTACTTTTGGGCATAATTCTATTGCATCTATTTTTTTACTTTCCACTAATTTCACATGTTATTTAGATGTTTTTATTGTATGATAGAAACTTGCTATTATTTACCTGCTAAAATCCCTAAATTTTCATTTACGCAATTCTGCATCTGTGAGGCTTACGCCTCGCCTCACGGACGAAAACTGCCTCGAGGCTTATTTACGCAATTTTAAACCTTGGGTGAAACTAATAATTCCGATAAAGCTAAGGAGGTGATTTTTACATTCAATAACACCATGTTGTTGAGGTGTATAAGAACATGAACTTTGAGAAATAATTCTCTTATTTTAAAAAAATCATGAAATTTGAAGATAAGAGCCAACTTAAATAATTGGCTTTGATACCATGAAAAACAAAGTAAATCGCTTACTTGTTCTTTGCCGAAGCCATCCCGCACGTCGCACGACCGTACGTCGAGGCCATGCCGATGTCGCTTCTTCGCACGACCCGCTCGCGTCGATAAAAAGGCAACGGAATGAGGCCTTCGGCCTCCGCCCTCACTCCGCTCCTGCTCTCTCTCTCAAACTCTCTCCCTTCTCGTCGCTTCTTCGGCTTCTTCGTGGCTGTGCAACTTTGCTCCAGTGACGACTTCCCCTTTCCCGTCGGATAGGAAGTTCGACACTTTAATCGGAAGTGGAACAGAAGCCCGCTCGCTGTGACAACAACCTTCTCCATTTCGTGCACTTCCCTCGTTCCCTTCTAGTAGGGTCAGAAGCTACGACATTTTGATCGAACAAAACAACGGGAGCTCGCCGCCTCCTATGCCCCTAGGTCATTGTTCGACTACGCTCCATTGACGACTTTCCTTTCCAGTCGGCTCGGTAGCCACAGCATTTTGAACGGACGAAACAACGGGAGCTCGACGCTTCTTGGGCTCTTTGGTCGCTGTTCGACTTTGTTCATTCGACGACATTCCCTTCCTGTATGGATCGGAATTCACACATTTTAATCGGAAGAAATAGCAGGAGCTCACTGCCGTGAAGTTAACTTGCCCCCTTTCGTGCGCTCCTTCGACCAAATCCAGTAAATCTCCAAAACAAAAAGAATAGTGGAGGGGGATTTTATTTTTATGTTTATTATTATTACTTTTTATTATTATTATTGTTATTAAATATAATAGTAATGATAATATTAATAATAATAATGATTATTATGATTATTATTATTATTATTTTTAATAATGAAAAAAATAAGAAAAGAAAATTCCTCTCTTACCTCGATGTGCGTGTCGAGCCGGCAAACCACCCATGCATGTTTTTCTCTAGTGTGGTGGTAGAGAACCCGGTGCGACAGCTATGACGAGGTAGGTGAGCTACCCTTGACCCAAAAATCCTATATTCGGCGTTCGTGTCCATCCTGCAAACCACCCATGCACCCTTTTCTCTAGCGTGGTGGGAGGGAACCCGTTGCGACACCTACGACGAGGTAGGTGTCGTAGGTGAGCGACCCTTGACCAAACTGTCCTCGGCATTCGTGACAAGCCGGCAAACCACCCATGCACGCTTTTCTCTAGCGTGGTGGGAGGGAAC